AAGAATTACCATCAATTACAACCTTATTGAATTCCTATTAAAGTTTAATCTAAACCACCTCGAGAGAACTCTAGACACTTCCACATGATCCTAGAGGCAGCTCCCGTAACATATATATTACTTATAACCAATTAGGAAAGGTTTTATAAATCTATAAATATAAGATAATATATTTTATAACGTAGTTCATATACGAGCAAATTATATTATTAAATAAATTACTTAATTTATATATAAAATTCGTCTATATGTAATCGTATACTTTTTTATTAGTCAATAGAATTATTCTTATATAAAATCTGATTTTCGAAGTATTTCGAAAATCTAATTTTTGTTTAAGAATTCTAATTATTATTAAAGTTATTAAGGAAAAAGAGTTTTTAATAGTATAAAATATAATAATTTCAAGCTAAATGAATTATTTTATAAAAAAATCTAAATATTAACGTAATTTATTAGTATATAGCCCATATTAGCATGTAGTCTACTTTCATTTCAATTTACATTTTCAAATCTATATTATTTAATAATAATTGAATCAATTGATTAAGATTATTAAGAATCTAATAATTTAAAATCTATTATATTATTTTAATAGATTCTTATATTATAATCTGTCTTTTTGTATTTATTATAATATTAATTAAAAGATACTTTTTTATTAAAATTCCTTTCTTTTTAATGTTTGTTGTATTGAATTTAAATATTAATCTTTTGTTGAGATAATATATTAAAAGTCTTTTGTTTAGTGAATATTCCTTTTTGATGTAATTAGGTTTTTTTATATATTGATATTTGTTTAATGCTTTATTTAATTTTTGAAGTATACAAATCTTTGTAATTAAAAGTATGTTTTTATAAGTTAATATTTTTATATTCTTAATTAGAGTTAGTATAATCTTGAATATAAATATAGGAGAGCTTGATTGATAATAAGTTATTTAAGATTTAATTAATATTAATTGAAAAAGAGCTTTTGTTGGATTATGAGGGGTTTAAGAAATCTATTGATTTAAATTGAAAAAGAGGGGGGTAGATATATGAATTTAAATATTTAATTTTGAGAGTATAGTTTTAAGATTAAATAGGATTAAATTTATTCTTTAGAATTCTGATTTTATATTCTAAAAAATAATTGATTTTTTATATATAGTTTTAAAAGCTATAAAGAATTCAATCTTTAAAATATGATTAATATATACTTTAATAAATTCATTAATTTGATTACTATATAAACATTTTAGATTACTAAAACAATTAATATTAAGTGATTAAATTAAATAACTTAAATACAATAATAGACATAAATATATAATATTTTTTTATTTTAATATATTTGAAAAGCTATTAATTTGTAGTTTTCATATTTATTTAATATCAATATTTAATATTTATTTTTTCTTTAATTCTTAATATACTTATTAAAATGTTTCAATCATTTTAAATCTATCTCATTATTTATCCACTCATTAAATATAAGTTTAATAGCTCATTCCATAGAAAAATTCATTTTGATATATTAATTAAAAAGATAAACTTATTCTTGAATTATTAGAAATAAGAGAATAATTTCACCCTCTTTATTTCCGTATATTATTATTATAGTCTATTCTCAATTGCCTGGTTGTACTGATTTGCTTTTACTATATCTCTTAGTATTAATAATAATTATTACTATATATATAATCCTTATTATAAAATTTGTTTTATTAAAATTATAGAAATCTCCATCTAAAGTACTGTATTTCGTTTGTATATTCGTAATTAATCGAAACCATTCTTAATAAGCTTAGAATTCTTATAAAGAGCTTTTTGAAAGTTATAAATATAATTAAAATATATCTTTAATTCAATTCAATATTTTACAAATCGATACATTTAAAGCTTTTCAATATTCTTTATACTCTTTAATTCAAGAATATAATTTACCATATCTTTTATATTCTTAAATTTAAATAAAAAACCTTTCAAATCTATATCGAATATATATTCGATAATAATATCTTCTTCTAGTTTTAAAAGATTATAAGATTTATATCGATATTTTATATAAAATGTAAAACTATTAATTTTATATTGTAATGTTGTATATAAAATATTATATATATTAGTAATCTTTCGAATACTTTGTTTTTTGTTTTTCTAAATAGTTTCGATGGTAAGAAGTATATGGGCTTTTTGATTATTCGAATTTATAATAAATTGTTAATAATATGTGTATTGAAAGAAAAAGATATAAATTGAGGTGAAAGTGGACTACATGCTGATATGAACTATATATTAATAAACTATGTTATAAATATTTCATTTTTATTATAATTCTTTTAAAAAAATCTTTGAAAAATAATAATTAGTTTTTAAGATAAGAATATCAAAAATGACTAATTTTAGTGTATTTTTCAAGTAATACATTCGATAATATGATTTACTCGTATATAAACTATATTAGATATAAGATTATAGAATCAATACAAAATATAGTTTTCCTTAATTTACTTCTACAAATTCATTATTATTATATTACTACTCGAATTTTAATTTCTTATCCCCTAGACCGCCAGCTAGCGGCGCTATAAATAGCTCATATACTAAATAAAAACATTAATATCTTTATGAATTATTAGAGCACGTGACTATGGGCGTGACATTACATGTCACGCTTTACTCTACATATATACTTCGTACGTAAGTAGGAATAGTATATATATATATAGATTAGTAATTCCCTCTTTATATAAAGAGAATAGATAGAAATAAATAACTCTTTTTACTCATATATATTATATATATATACCTTATCAAGTCTACTTAATATAAATAATACTAATAATGAGGAAATTAATAAATATATAATATATAATAATTTTATTAATATATTCTCAATTAATACAAAATTTAATTCTCTTAATATAGGAATATTATATTTAAATATTCTTCTTATTTTAAAAAGAAGAATTTATTTTGAATCTATAAATTTTATCGATTTTAATCGAAAACTCATTCTATAAACTAATAATTAATATTATAATATATTTGATTTAATTAATTTTTATTTTCTTAGTAAAATAATAATATTGATTATAAAATAAATGAACTTATATATATAAACACTAAAAAATAAAATAAACTTTTTGATTTATAAATATTCTATTAATATTTTATATTAATAAATGAAGTTTATTTATATCTAAATATATATATATATATATATATATTAATTTATATTGAATTTAAATTTGAGACTTATTAGAAATATACAAAAAATGTTAGTATACTTTTTATATATTTTTTATATTAAAGAATAAGTTTAAAAAGCTTTATATAAAATATTATATTAGATTTTCTAAAATAAATAATATTTTTAAAAACATAAGATGTTAATGCATATTTTATATGTTAATAGATTTATTATTAGATTTTATTAGAAATATTAATTTTTTAATATAGATATTTTAAAATTAAATATTAATCGATTAATATATTATATTAATATATAATATAATATTTTGATTACATTTATTTTATTATTATTATTATTAAAAATAAATTTATATTAATAGGATTTAAAATATAAATAATAATAAATCAAAACTTTTTTATAATATATAACTAATAAAAAGAACAATTCTATAAATATAATTATATCTCCTCTTTTAAGATTAATAATAAAAGAAAAATATATAAATCCTATATGAATAATTTTTTAGTACTTAATGTAAAGATTATCTAAAGTTTTATATCATATTTATTTTAATAGTTTATTTGATTTTTATAACTTTTTGAAATATATATATTATTTGAAATACATTGTAATAAAAATATATAAATCTAATTTTGATATTTATAAAGATCTAATTAATTTAAAGATTTAAAACGCTAAACATAATAGAATACTATAAGAAACAATTCATTATAAGATATTCCTCTTAAATAATATATGTTTTATAGTATAAAAGAATAATATAATAATTTTAATATAAACTATAAAATATAATAATAAAAGTTCTTATTAAAAGAATATATAAAAGATCGAAAACTACCTTTTCGAAAACTAAAACAACTTAAGTATTATTTGAAAGAAAAAAAAAGATTTATCTATTTCGATTCATTTTAATAATTATAATAATAATATAAATACTATCGATATAAAAAATCAACTATATACGTTTATATTAAAATATCGATAATAATAATAATATAAAGATTATTAAGCTTTAAAATAATAACTTTCAGTTATTATTTTAGTTAATTACTATCTAATTCATAAAGAAATTATATTAAAGTATTCTATAATCTAATCTCTTAAGTATAATGATTTTCGATTTTCGATTTTTTATTATTAAAAGATTAATTATCGAATTTAAACACGAATATTATTTTAGAGATTATATTAAACCTTCTTAGATCTTAATTAAAGATTCTAATAATCCTCTTATAAATTATTAATTTATAAGATTAAGAATAAAAGAGATTATAATATATATAGAGAGTTATTTTTAAATAAAAGAATTATATTAAATAAAAAAATTAAATAATTTTAAATTGAAAATTAATAAACGTAAAAGTATATAAAGATATCTAAAATATAATATTTATTTATATAATAATAATAAATGTTTTAAAAGTTATTATAGAATATAGTTTAAATATTATAAGAATTCTTGAAATCCTAATGATTTAATTAGTCACTTAGATCCTTACTAAGCGACGGCGCCTCTAACTGACGGTCTAGAGGATAACGATTTGTTATTCGAAAAAGTCTAATATATAATCTTACTAGATCACTTAATAGCTTCCTCATTATACGTTACAGCTTTACGCTTCCGAAATCATTCGGGTGTAGATTTTCGTTCTCTGCTCTCAGCCGTCCCAGTTTCTTGTGAGTACTAGGTAGGTAGAGCTACGCGCTACTCTCGCCCTTCACTTTAATGAACCTTACCTTTTTGTCATTTATCCGCCGTCCAATGTGTATACAAGCAGATAACATATATGTCTGATAATTATATAGTTGTCTTAGCTCGTTTAGAAACATCACTACAAGACCCCAAGATATTTCTTTTCCGGGACAAGACCTTTCTGCTCTGCCCGTTGATACTAATACTTGAGCATTCAAATTCGACCCATATACGAAGTAAAAAGTCGGTTTTGTAGCGCTTGTACTCAATCTTGTTACGCATGCGAGCAGCATTGCCAAGCTTTAGAAAGTCGTTCATAAGTATAGACATCTCAGCGCCACGATGAAATTTGTTGACCCATTTTATGAGCCCGGTCATATCCGAGACAAACCATTCATCTGTTAGTCTACTTGAATCTGTGGGGTCGCATAAGAACAGTGCAGAACACCAAGGTCTAATAGCGTCAAACATTCCAGCGTTGGACGCATGGACACTATCGCCAAGAGCGAAAAACTTTTTAGTCAACCTGCTGTGTTCGTAAACATTCTCATTTATTGATATCGCTGCCTCTAACCACTCTCTGAATTCTGACCGAAGAGCCTCTGAATTTGTATCTTGTCTGAATTGTTGACTACATCGTTGAGCATGCAATGCGGCAAGGTATTCCTCATCTGAGTCCAGCTCAAGATTTGTTTCGACATGTCCTGAATCTTTGTGAATATCGTCAAGGTCCAAGTCGTCTGCAACATCTAACGGCTCTTCACAGTCGGGTGAGAAAATACCATGACACACCGGTAGGAGGCTCGGCGTTGCCGGTACGATATCTTTATTTAAAACACATTTGTTTGAATATACATCTGCGACAGGCGGTGACCGAGGAACCTGCACTTCAGTCGACCTTTGTGCGTCATGTTTGGTGTATGGTGGTGGTTGCGGTGGTGGTGGCAGTAGTTTGCCCTTGAGTTCCGAATGTTTAATCTGAGCCCAGTCGACTAGCATAAAACCTTGTGGAGAGTATATTCTTCGCATTTGAGGTTCGCAGATCCATACGCTCTTATCACGCAAGCGCTCGTCGACCGTTTTCAAATTTGCACGCGCGTAATCAGAAGGTCTGATATAAACTTGAAAGCTCTTCGTAACAGATAAAGATCTGATTTTCTGTATCAATGTGCTCGAGGTAGAGTTGGAAGGTAAAATAGTCGCAGATTCCCTCTTCTTTCTGACAACAAATCCTGTAAACTGTAGATCGAATGATAAGACAATGATATGCTCCAAATTGCTTATGCCAGCTTCGTGGAGGGCAGATGCATCATGGGAGGACAAATCATCAAGCCCCGATATTGGAAGAGATTTCGAGTAGCAGTCGAAGTTACCGTGCGGCGGGACAACCAATAACATCTCCATTGAACGATTTTTGCCGGTATGCTTGTGAGTCACCTTAAGGGAGAAATAGACATGGATGCGTTTCTCTAAATCGCAGACCACTTTCATAAGACAATTGGTATTCTCTTTATTATCCGCTAAGCAAGAACCCAGCGTATAAGAATGACCCTCATCGACCCATTTTACATACACTCTCTCTTGAAGGAGATTCTCCAGCCCAAGGTTTTCGATCGGAACCGCCATACCGTATACTATAATTGTAATTAGTGATAAATATGATAAGGGACAATTTTTTTTTTTGGAAATAAATGATCCCACACTCAGTGTGTATCCCCACCCACCCAGGCTAATAGAGCAGCCTTGACTCTTTGGTATGAATCGAATCGGAATGATTCAAACAGTATCTACTGAGGAACCTAACCACCAATATTGTACAACTATCAGGGTTGTTCCCAAACAGCAGATACTGAAGAATACAACCTTCGTGTGATATGATAATCGAGGTGAAGGAATGAAGTAGGAATGGAGATGAATATAAGTAAGATACTGTTTCCACGGATCGAGAAAGAAAGTAGGATTCAGGATAATTCAAACAGCAGATACTGAGGAACCTAACCACCAATACTGTACAATTATCAGGGTTGTTCCCAAACAGTAAATACTGAGGAACCTAACCACCGATACTGTATAGCTGTATTAGGGTTGTTCCCAAACAGCAGATACTGAAGAACAAAATCTTTGTACGTTATGAACAATATGTTTGCAATGATCAATGTGGATGATAAAACTGGGAAAATGAAGTACGAGTGGGGATGAATGTCAGCAAGGAAAATGATGGCGGATTTGGTTTTGGTTATATGCCGTGGTATACGTTTGCCTAAGTTAACAAGAAGCGCAGCGGCTGGTGCACAAAAGGGCTACCGTAGCTAGTGTAATCCCTGAAATGGATTCAATTCTGAGAATCATTATCGAGTCATCGCTGTTTTCTTGTATTTTATAGGATCCCTCTTTTTATACTAGTTTATACTGAAACCTCTCGACCAGAAATTATTCTCGATATTGTAGTGGTTGCAATGTGCTATGTAATCCCGAGGTCCCGAGGTCGTGTTTGGTGGTGTGGCTAGGTATGGTACTATCGGTGAAATTGTATCTGTGGGCTGCTAAAAAGTGTGGCTGCACGCACCTTGCTGGAAAATTCCGGCTTCCTCACATTCTTCAACTGAGCTTAAAAGCACGAATTACTTATAATTAATCCTTCGTCAAGAACGACTGATATTCATTCACATTCCTTTTCACCACTCACAATCTTATCATCTAACATATAATATGTCATAAAACCTAGTCTTTTCTATATCTATTCGAGTCTTAACATGTCCTACTCAGCTCTTTTCCACTACACATTCCTCCTGGAATGCCATCGGAATGTACACACTCGAGTCCTGTGTTTCCGTACTACTACACAGCTAGTAATACCGGGAACCTGTACAAAGACTCAATGATGTTGAAGTTGTCATCATAATCATGGAAATGTACCCTTGGACTGAGTAGTTTGATCGGAGGATAAACTAATAATACAAGAATGAAACAATCACAATCCAAGAGTAGCTAGACAACATTCCTCTCGGAAATGAAATCACAGAAAAAGCTTCTCAACAACCACATCATTCAGAAGACCACACCGCCAAACGTAACCACAAAATCCATCCCACTTCTGAGCCGTGCTTACACCAGGATATATATAAGGACTAGCCTGTATTTTTCCCAGGCTACACCCGTTGCATTGCAATACGTATAAACGAAGTACAATTTCCATCAGCCAAACCAGCAGCGTTTTGATACGGAGTGGTATTGCACCAATTGAGTGTATTTGGGTACGAGGATTTATCACAGTACTGGTACGTTCCAGAGTTCATATATCCGGCGGGTGCTGATTTCTCAACTGTTTCTGTCAAGGTGCCGCAGGATCTAATCTCCGATCATTGTTTTATTTCTAGTGACGCTTGATATCTCACAAGTGTAGGAGGAGAGGTGCAGCATACTGTAGTACATGAGGAATAAAAGTCCAGTATCCACACTCATTTTCTTTCAAAGTTATGTTAGATCCCGCTGTATTTGAGTACGTGAAGGTTTCTGAGAAAGTATAGGTTGCTCCGATGTCGAAGGCTGACTCTAATACTTTGGCCACCGCTCCGCCTATGCCTGCATTGATTGAGAATGTGTTGACGTAACTAATGGATTGAGTGCTGCTGATGGAACATTCGGTTCCACTCCCACATGACCTTTGGCTTGGAGATGTTAGCGAGTGGTTTCCAACGTGCGGATGAAAACATTGATCTCGATAGCGAGAGCATGTCACTTAATTCCGACTGCAGTACAGAGCACAAAGCCCCGGAAGACCATGTCAAAGAAATCTGGTTTGTTTGAGCTAGAAATTTTGTTGTACTCATCCTCCTGACATAGGCATTTCTTGCCCATACTTCAAGGTCAAGTGTATTTCACAGTACGCTGAGCACCCCTCCTTGCCAGGTACATTTGGAATTGGTTTGGAATAGTAACCTTTGCTGTCGACCGTATTCTTCTTGGGGCAGTTATAGTCGCTAATGTCTACCTTCATATTTTCTGCACTGCAGATGCCATTGTCTCGATCCGAAAGAATAGGGGGAGCAGGAATTGCCAATGTGACTGCGGCCAAGGCAAGGAGAAAGAGGCGTTGAAGAAGCATTTTGCGAATGTTGATAATCAAAATGTAAAGAACGTATTTGAAGATCAAAACTTATTGGGAAAGAAAATGAATGAAAATGAATCAAAATGAATGACTGAGCGGTGACATGAGGGGCTTGAACCGACGCACTACTCCTTTAATAATGGACTTTCTGTCGACAAAAGACATCAGATACGAGTTTAGAAGCAACTTTTATCAATCCCAACAATATATTCATCACAAATCCTTCATGTAAGACTGAATGATAGACTCATCCTTAGTATCGAGGGGTTCTCTCGATTGTGTTCGCTAGTACAGCAAGGAGACACTGGTGAACAACCTTTACAGGTGTCGACAGTACGACGGAAAGGGGTGAGAAGCAGATCCAGGAAGAATATTGCTACTTTGATCCTACGACATGATCTTGACCCTTGATACGCCCAGATGTTATTCGATTCAAAAACTCCCTTCGCGAAGTCGAGCCCTTCTTTAAGCCTATAAAATCGCAGCACCAAGCTCTAATTTTGCAAATGTCAAGAGTCTCAATGAAGAAAAGAGAGTGGCTGTAAGGCTATGAAATTGCTGTCTGCTATTTCGGTCATTCATCATCGAAGATCATTGGCTGGAAGTTACTCTCACAAGGTACTAAGATTGGAAGCTGGATAAACCTTCGATGCAGTTGGTGATCATTAATATATTTGTCTCCCAACACTAATCATGGAAAGCATGGGGAAATGACTTGCTAAACATTCGTACTAATGAGTTTTCTATAGATCTTGGAACTGGGGATGCTGATTTGCCGAATAAGATGGTGGCAGTGCGCAGAAAGTGTATGCGCCGCATGTGCCTCATACTCCTAGTAACAACTTCGAAATGGTAGCATTGACAACATCGTATGGTTTCTTATGTTAGTGGCACACAATTAAGGAGTTTAGGTTAAATGAAGTCTGACTCTCCTCGACCATGCATATCAAAATCTTAATTCCTTTTGTGTTGACATCCCCAGAATCACAATACGATATAGTTCTGATCTAGAGCACTTGCTAGTCAAGATTCGACTGAAATCACAACTGTCTTCAAAACTCTACCTCTAGTTTCGTTGTTGATTACTTGGTGCTTCCAACTTCACCTTGGAGACCTGATAATCGCCAATTTTCACCAGCTTTCACAATGTCGAACGACAGCGATTGCATTAACGACAATAATGGTATACCCAGCACTCTCGGCAACCAATCTGCTTGTTACTGGCCTTCTTTCTGGACCGATCCAAATAGTACCAGTTTGGGAATGTGTCAATTCCGCCATAAGAGCATGTTGCGGTACTTCTGACCTCATTCATTATCCGCTCAATGATCAATATAACTGCGTAATTCAGTATTGTCATTTTCCTCCACTAAATGGCGACGACACGATCATGCAATGCCTCAATGACGTATTTCTCAGTGGCAATTCAAGCATTCAGATTGACTTCTTATGCACGCAGATGGACAAGATTGAGTCAAAGAGCCCGATAGTTCGAAGAGGTACAATCAATACGATTCTTCTGATGACAGCAGTTAATTGCATTTGGGAGCTGGGCTCTTTAAAGAGAGAGTTGACGAATTTCAAGAGATTGTGAATTCATTTGGTGGGATGATGGATCTAATCGTGGGTTGTGATGTGGAACTGCTAGTGTACGGTCTCGTGATGTAGCGGACGTAGCGAATATGTCGTAGCGGCGCTCGTTCTTAACCTTTTACAACATTTCTTCTTGTCCTTTGATATGTAGGTTTCATCGATATTGTAACGACGTGAAATCGGATTGATGATCTATCAATATTTTTACAAATCATCAACTCATAACCTCAGATCCATTTTATGATGGCAAAACAAAGGCGGTGTGAGGTAAATCATGATGGACAGCTGACCTGGCCATATCCAAGCCATGGCGTGCTTTAGGGAGCGATTGAAATGGCGACACGCTAACTGAACTTAAACCTAATAAGGAATTGAAATAAAGTATGTTCAAGACCAGGTTTTTATACATATATAAAGGAGTGTTATAAGGCTTATTTAAAACCTTATACCTCAATATAAGGCTTATAAATCATATTTTCTTTTTTATCTTTAAATTAAAATAGATTACCTACCTCTGTTACTACATAATATTAAACTTCAATATCATTCCCTATTCGAATTAACTTTATTATTTTTTACAATATCATATATAAAATACAATTTAATCTAACCAATAATTAATAATGTTTATTTTATATATAGATTATATGTATTATATAAAAGCATTACTTTTTATTATATTATATATTAATAGAAAATTATACAATATTGAATTAAATGATATATATACAAGGTTGAATATAGAAGAGTAATTAGAGCAAATCAGAACTAAATTCTTTGAATTATCAAAGTATTTTGATTCATTGGAATTGATACAAAAAGCCATTATTATACAAAGATTTGAAGATTGTTTAAGTGAAACTACAAATACTTTGATTGGGCTTTCAATCGAAGATTTCATTTCAAAGTTGTAATATAGATTGTATTTAATAGAGTTTAGTTTTCTTAATATATCGCCATTTCAATTGCACCTGTGCTTCCATCGCTCGTCCGAACAATAACTCCTGTTATCTTCATGTTATTGCGCATCAATAGTTTTGGATCCTGCATATTTCATGAATAACGGTGATGGAAGTCCTCCCTAAATATTCTTACACACCCCTCGACACCTCCAAACCTTCAATTCGTCTTCTCCGTCTCCAGCGGAACGAACAAGGTTCGATCAGTGGCTAGTTAGAAAGTTTTTCCCTTGATGATCCGGAACGTCCTGTCTTTAGAACTTTGTCTTATGTCTGGGGCCCTAAAGTGTTTTCTCATAGCATTTTTATCAACGGGCATCCATTCCCTGTACTGAGCAGTCTTCACCCATTCTTGGAAATCATATGTGATGACGAAAAATTGAAGCAAAGTTGGTGGTGGATTGATTCGATTTGCATTAATCAAAATGTGGGGTCGATTGCAGAAGCGGAGCGCAATATCCAGGTCGCTATGATGAGAAGGATCTACGAGAAATCAGAAATGACTATCGGCTGGCTCGGTCTAGGAGACGATGAAGGCGAGCAAGCAATCCAATTTATGAGGATGTTAGCAAATCACAAGAAAAGATTAGATTTGGTTCACCACAGAAGAGTAGGCGGAGAGAGAAGAGCGAAAGAGGAAGAGCTAGGGAATGAATTGAGTGACGGGAGCAAATGGGCTGCATTAGAGAGGTTATTATTAAGGCCTTGGTGGACGAGAGTTTGGACACTTCAAGAATATCTTGTCCCACGAAAATTCGTCTTTCAGTGCGGGTACGAGACCATAGATAGACGCAAATTGACTGCAGCAATGAGTGCAATCAGCTCATGCAGGAGAATCGATGAGACATTGCTGGCCCACAAAGCATTTGAAGCTCCATGGATACGTCGTCGTATATTCCAATGGTGTCAAAGAGGCGCTCCGGTACAATTGATTGGGTTGATGGGATACATTTCGAATTACAAAGCTTCTGATCCCAGGGATAGAGTTTATTCCGTTCTCGGCTTGGCTGCGGATGGATTTTTGGCTGACCCGCCGAGATATCAGGATAGTTTTGAAAGGGTTTACTCGAATTTAGTCAAGAGTTTTGTTGAGAAACACAAGAGTTTGGATATTCTCTGCTTCGTAGACCGATTCCATTGCTTAGAACATTCGCATGGCCAGCCAAGACTCCCCTCTTGGGTACCAGATTGGAGAGCTGATGTACAGCCATGGATGGTTCCTGCAATAGCTGCTCAAAGTGGTGCAAAGAACGTCGGAAACCTTCGCCCTTTAATATTTTTGTATCCCGAGGGAAACAAATACGATGTTTTTATGGCTGGAAAAAGCAGGGCCCCTCTAAAATACAATTTTTCCAGCGATTTCCGGATACTGACCTGTCAAGGAGCCTTTGTAGATCTTGTCGACGGTATTGGCGGCCTCAAGGTAGTCTACACAGACGAAGATAAGACGAATGACGAAGTCGCCAAGGTGTATCAGAGCGTCGAGTCAACAAGCATACACGGAACATCTGAAGCTTCTCAAATCAACGCCAAGTTATTAAATCAAGCTGAATTGGATTCTGAACAAGCACCTAGATACATGGATCACATTTTTCGCTGCTTGATGCTTAACCGGCAAGACCGATATCTCAGTCAGGATATACCAGCCAAGGAATTTTCGTATCTAGAATTCCAAGCGTTTTGTTTTGCGGCAATGACAAGACCAGGTGATGTACACCCCCTGTTTCTCGATTGGTTTGAACGCAATCGGACACTCCGAATCGGTTCCCACTCACTCGAGCAGATATACAAAGCGACACCACTTCCGAACTCTGAGTTCCTCACTGAATACGATTTTATGGATATCTCAACCAACGAACAAGGATTCATTTCGTGTTTCAGAGATACCACCAAATGAATGGCGCGAAGACTTATGACCACAGACCAAGGACTCATTGGTATGGTTCCGTGCCGAGCACGGAAAAGCGATCAAGTTTGGATTCTGCTTGGATGTAGTATTCCGTTAATTTTGAGAAAGCGGGAGGATAACGAAGGCTATCAAGTGATTGGGGAGTGCTACCTCCATGGATATATGAGTGGCGAAATTCAGGAAGAAATCATTAGTGGTATCAGAACGGTTGAGGATGTATGCTTGTTATGACGAATGATATTAACGTTCCCATGAGTTCGAAGCTCAATACGTATTTGAAAGCTTACAACCTCTTAGTATTATATAGTATATCAAGTGCTTTAAGTAGCCAGGCAGTTCATACATCAAATGTGAGCCATTTCGGTACTCAAATAAAGGTAAATTTCTCACGAAATACATACTCGCGATATAATCAACAAATCGATTTGACTACCACGAGTTCTGAGTATGAAATAATACATACCAGTACTTGAAGGCTCAAGTAAAAACATAAATTCGACTACTCGACGTCCAAAGATCACTAACACGTAAGCGACAGTAGGAAATGCTACCCATCCATCAATCCTAGATCTCTATTCTCCATGAGTCTTTGCGATATCTCATAAACTATCCAATCCAACAGCGAAACACTATCTCACACCTGCGAACAGCACATTATAAAGACAAGTACATATAAATCGACCACACTCAGCCAATGTAATGCCATCACCTAGAGAACAAAACCCCTCGTTTACAAGAGACCATGGTAAGTAAGTCCTACAAATTAAGACCAATGCATGACGATCCCAAAACGTCCAGCCGACGTCGGCCATTCCACGCCCCTGGACCATGGAATGCTTATGGCAACACAGATACAAGAATCTATTGTGAAACTCGGTTTGCATGGGGTAAGGTAGTCATGGCACGGGATGACATGCGGGGTTCCAGAAACAGATTCTTAGGTTTATTGAAGTTTGGTAAGTTTCCTGCACTAGGATCAAGTAGATAGGGACGATGAACACTGAAACCTGGTAGCTGTTTTATGGTTTAATTGACATCACATTGGTTTTTGTTTTTCTTGTGTGCTGATCAGATTTATATTGTGCAAATGCCCGATTTATGTTACGCGGTATCAGTTCCTATCCGCTTTCATGTTTTCATATCCATTTATAAACCTCGGATATTACTCTCCTAGTTGTGCTCCGTAACTCCATGGGACTCTCTCACTCCGTCCGGAGGTTATATCGTCCCGCACGCGCACAGTACACCATTTCGGTGCAATTGGCGCTTTTAGACCTGACATGTGTAATGTATATTCTGCCCAGTGCAAGTAGTTATTTTCGTCTTTGGAAGTTTCGACAAAAGGGTATAGGGAAGTGACAGTCCTTTGGACATGTATGTCCTGGATGAGGAATAGCGTGGTGAGATGAGTTGTTTCTGCTGCGAGGGACTGGAAACAAATTGCAGAGTATTGGTGCTCGTATGAGTGCAGTAAGATGTATTTTGTACCAGGTGGGTATTCGGTGAGTAGAAAGTTTCTATAGCATATAGATTGGACTGATTAATCATGCACGAAAATAAGGCGAGGCTCTTGGAGTGCAATTATCCAGAACCTGCTTTGCTGGCGACAGAAGACTCAATGGAAAATACCCGAGTCGAATGCAAAGTATCATCCGTCAACGTGCTGACCGTTTTCACAGGACTCCTTCGTCTGAGGGTTGAAGGTACACGACAATCTGCATTGAGCCTTCATGGCAGGGATTTCCAAACTTGCTTCTTCTAACGCGTAACACGAGATTCATATTGTATGTCGTTGCGTTACAGATTCATCGTTGTCAACTTTACCATCTTTTCATCCCACGCTGTGCTTGTAGATCAGATGGACCGCTAGGTCAGCCGTGAGAGTGTAAGTGGAACTGTCGTTATCCCATGCCAAGTCTAACTTGATAGTCCAAACACCGATTCTTCGTTTTTAACAGCTGACATCATGTATAGAAGCATTGATAGCAAAGGAAGGTAACCCCAAAACGAGTTCATCTCCCAGTATTTCCGAAATCAAGAGATGTGATGATCAGATGATGTGCTCTTCAGAGCCAAAGTAACTCAAGATAGGTATGAACTGTATGCATCTTCACGGCATATCCATTCATCGCATTTGAAATCCAGAGCTCAGGAGCTTTCTGGGTATGACGATTAAACATCTTGGCCAATTGACAAAGACTCGGATACAAATGACAGCTTGGTAGGTATTGATAGGGTACAATGTCTTTGAGGCTTTGGAAGGTTACCAGAAGTGACAAGCATACAAACGTATCGCCTTGTATTTGTGTTTGTGCCCGTTTGAAGTTTTTTAAGTACCCTTGTGTTTTCCTTGAATTCTCGAAATCATGTGTAAGAACCGGAAAACCAAACCATGACGAATTTGCCCCCATAAATGTAATACAACAGCCCGCCCTCCTGGCAGTTTTTAGGCTGAATTCCAAACACTTTGAAAACGGCCAATAGAGTACATAGGGGGATCGATTTTAGGAACCAAGATTGAATAGAGCGGGGTAGTCCCGGTGTTACACACGAACCAGCCAGCCATTCATTCTCATCTTCGGCGGCGTACAGAATAAGCTTTTTGGAGATTACTGTAGGAAGGCCATTCAATCCAGCAACCCGGCGAGAGGGACCAATGATTTTCGATAATCACGGTTACCCAATTTTTTTACCGGTCGAACCCATTTTGAGCCGTCGGGGCTGCGGCATTTTGGTAAAATGTAATACCGAGATCTGTGGAAAGGAAATCAAGTTTTTCACCCTAGATAACCGGAAAGGTTCTTCTAGAATGGGGGCGGAGGGTGTTTCAACGGCTGTCACTATTATATTCTCATCTGTTGAAAGTTTTCTGCATCTCCTTCAATACACTGAGGCCCTGGTCGTTGCAGTTCGACACCAAGCTAAAATAATAGGAACAAACTGGAAAATACTATTCTTCCTTGTCCACAAAATATCTTGGTGGTCAGCATGAAAGGAAGAATACGGGTCTCCAAGTCGGATGCATGGCCAATAACCATGTTTCTGGAGACGTAATGCTTTTGCGAGCTCTGTTTAGCTTAGTAGTGGCAGCAGCATCTTTGCCATGTAACAGGATTCTCTTACCGAAAAATAACTATCTCGGTTGATCGCGAGCAAAGCTAACATATACTAAGGCTAATCTTCCGGATCTCCATAATGCTAGAAGTATTTTGGCTGACCAAAACTTTATCAAGATACTGAAGTTGAAAGTTTTGAAAAACAGTAGTTTCCTGAATGTATGTAATTATGTTCCAGGTGATGCCTGAAGAATTTTGTTGAGTGAGTGCGGGACGTGGTGCAGAATTGACCAGACTCTGCTTCCGATAAAGATTCTATTACCCTCAATTTCTTGTATAATTTAGGCCTCAGGGATACTGGACACTGCATGTGAGAGTGACCAGACAGCATTTATCTTGGTAGATATATGTTGTGATTATTATCTGGATGCTGCAGACCTGGGTTGTTGGCAATGACCTTCTATGCACCCATTTTTTCTTGTTCAAAAAAGGAATAATGCTACTGATTAAGTTCAGTAATGGCCTGATTATTCCCTGCACTGATAACTTTATGTACCAAATTAAAATTCGTTGATCGTTCGATAGTTTTGGGAAAGATCCGTTGCTGGGGTTGCTAAAAGATAGAATACCTCGGCACAAGTTTCCTCTTAGAGCAAGTTGAACTCTGACTCTGTAGAACATGAGCTGAGAGAAAAGAAATCAAAATACTACACCATCATAGTAATAGGCAAGAAAAGCTACAATAACTGAGTCTGTGAGGCAGCGTGAGCGCAGCAGATCTACATCGTATTGAATCATTTTGGTAGGTTTATGACCTTGGCTCAAGTCTCTATAACGAATGATCGAAATCCACGATAACTTTGAGAAGAGAAGAGACAATGAAGAAGCAACAATGACAGGATATGCCCTGAAAGACCTCTCATGTCTCTCGGAGTCTGTTTGTTAGTCGGCCAATGATCATGAATATGTGTATGTCACCTTCTTCCGTGAAACGTGACACTAAAGCTCCGAAGCGGGAAGAGTACATGCACACTGAAGATGATGCTTTTTCCATTAAGCCCTGAGTAAGGTCACCAGCATCCACGCTTGCCCTCCTCCCAATGGACGTCAAATCAAGGGAGTGGACAACTAGAAGAATGTTCCTCTGGATAGATGGCTTTCTTGCACGACCTTGCGCAACAGATAGAGTGATGATACACTGGCGGTGTGGTGGTAAAAAGAGATGAGAGAAGAGGGGAGGAGTAAAATGAGTAGCACCAGAAACAATGGTAGTGGATGGTAGCGAATGGGTGGGTATTGGTTAATGATTAGATGCATTGTGGATGAACAGTTCGGGGGTTTGAGCCATGGATCGTAATCGTAATTCCTAGCTTTCTAACACCACCGCCCTCCACTACCACCCACCACTATCTGTGAGTGCATCACCGGCATTGTGTTGGTATCTAGGTACTCAAGGTACTCTATGTACTTTGCAGCTTTGCTGTATGTCGGAAAGAATTGATTGGGCTAGTCGGTCAACTTTTCCTTGTAATGAACTAGCCCCCAAAACCTCTGTCATTGAGTGTGTAAAGATGTTCTGTGAAAATCCATGTAAGACTCCAATATGAGTCAGCGAGTCTTTACGTGAAGTCAGAGTCGTAAGTATCATGATGGTTCGAATGGAGATCAACGGTCAGCATCTCTCTCTCCGACGCACCTCCTTCTGATATAATCGAGCTGCCGTTTGCAAAGGATTTTTAAAGTAATATAGAGTCGTGCAGATATGTCATTATCAATTCTAATGCAAATAGTGCATAGTGCACGGATCGAAGAACGGGAACTAGAACTTTAGCGGCATCAACATCCACTCCCAAATGCAACTAAAATGTTACAATCCCGGAGATGTTTCGAACCGTCAAACATCACAGCTGTACCCCTCAAGCCCTGTCAAAGAAGACCAGAAAGAGACCGCAAAAGCCCAAGTTCATTAACCTACCTGGCGAGGTTTAATCCAAAAAAAAAAAAGAGTCAACCCCTTGCCTAACACTTTATCCGCATGCTCAAAAACACGGAAGACCGGGCTTGATAGATTACGCTGCAATAGAAGTCGTCCGCCAGTCATTCATCGCAATTCAAGACACATCCACCAAACATACCACACCTCATCCCGCAGAGTAGGAGTTCCAACCAACCAAAAAGCTCTGCATATAACAGGTCGCACTCTCAATATCACTCACCCGGTTCCTGGGACTATCACAGCTTCCTTGAAGCCTCCAGCCATGACCATGCTTCCTGTCACTCCAGGGTTGTCCTCCATTGGAGTTTCTATATCTCCCCCCAGCTTTCCCCACGGCTATCAATGAAGAGCTGCCCTTTTTTCCTTTCTATCATCATTGTACTTTGAAGTTACACATATAATAAATTTGGTTCCAACCCTCATTCATGCATCGCAATCAGAATTTGAACAATCAAACAAATATCTTGTACTTCGCCCTCCTCGGCCACTCATATATAGCACTATACCTCTGGTTGAGCAATTACTATCATCATTTCATTTCGTATCTCGAGGCATTAATGATACTTAAAGGTAGCAATCCTTCCACATTCCTATTGTCAATTGTTAAGCTCTAATGTGTTAGATACTTACTAGTAGCCTATGCAGATACCTCTACCCGCGAACACTCAATCGAACGTCTATAATATCACGATATATTTGACAATCTCCTGCAACATGTACCATTCGAACCATGATGCGCTCCCAATTCATCAACCATCTGATGGCAGAAGCATCAGCTATGGACGAGAGCCGCTACCCTACAATGACAATGGCGACGACAGGGCGCAAATGCCAAATTTTAATCCTCCCAGACTTCCTCCCATATCTTCATTGCTATCCTCTCTACCACCGGAACAAGTTGAGGAGGGTCAGACATTCGAGGGCTCATATCGTCCGCCATCGCAAGGACCACGGTCTCCAGTGGCATTGAACAGACTAATGTACCTACATCAGCAACAGCGTAGTCCTCGGGAAATTGAACCTAATTTCAAGCACTCCCAAAGCCCGCTATCTCCATACTCGACATGTCCACCGACACCCATGTCAGATGTCTTCGCGACAAGGGAAGGATCTGTCGCAGCTCATCACCATGGCCCGTTTGCCCCTCCTAGGTATGTTAATTTGGTATCCATTGTCAATGGATGAAGGCTCATTGTACTCGAAGGGCTCCGCAACCACTCCTCCCTCAGCCGGAATGTAGACTGGTCGTCATGCAACAGCCAATATCAGCACGAGCTTGTGGGTACGGAGACAAGGACCGCCGAATGATAGACCCGCCGCCAATTCTGACACTCGAAGTATTCGATAATGATACAGGTCAGGCCGTCGATCCGAAAGAGAGAAAGAAAGTCTTGAATAGATTCATGCCGATAGTGCATTGTACACTATGGAATCCCTACACGAATTGCGAAGATGATAAGATCGAGGGAAGCAGTGACCGTAGAAACCAGAGAAGGATGGTGGGAACGATGGTGTGTAACGGTTTTAAAGCACTAGATCCTCATGGCGATGAACGATTCTTCTTCACTTTTGCCGATTTGTCTGTTCGATTCCCGGGTGACTATCAATTGAAGTTCAGATTGACGTTGATCGACCCAGCTGCAATGGGGAAAGGTCAAAGAAATGGGATTATGAGTCCATTGTTGAGCAATATCTTCAGGGTACATAATGCCAAAGACTTCGAGGGTATGAGGCCTAGCTCGGATCTTGCGAAATCTCTTGTTAGCCAGGGCTACCCAAATATTCTCAAGATCAAGAAGGGGAATGCGAAAACAATTGCAATGGTTGGCCACGGGGACGATGAAGATGACGATGATGAGATGGGAGGAATGTAAGTGAGGAATGCATGTGAAGCCACTTCTAGCTGAGCATAATGATATGGATATAGGTAGCCAAAGTCTAGTGAATGGCTGCTTTGATATTGAGGACGAAGACTTGCGAGCTTTGATTTTTGCATTGGATTTATTGTTGATCCGTTGAAAGCGGGAGTTAGCGTCTCAAAATGGTTGCTCTTTTGGTGAAGAGACTTGAATAACAGTATGAATTTATGAATTTATGAGGAGCAAGAGCATGAGCAAGAGCAACAACGTTGGCATTGGGCTGTACTGATAGCTGTACTGGCTGTTAGGTGGAAACTGTGATATTATGATCAAACTTCACCCCAAGTTTTGCATTTTACAAATTGTTCTTGTGGCAGAGGAAGACATATCAATGAATATAAATAAAATGATAAACATCGAATATCAGGTATCAATTCAAGATAGTATATCAAAATCTCTTCTTATTCTTTACTTTTTTTTCCTGTTCTTCAATTAGCTCTAGCTATTCAGCCTATATATCTGCATAGATATAGGTAACTTCGAATCCTTTCTTCTCCTACTGCAATAGTAATAATAACAAAAGATCAAGTTCTTTGTAAATAGCCTTATATTTTTAATACTGCTCTCCACAAATAGCAATTTTGAAAAAGGGGGTTTCCTTAGAAGTAAACTTCGTATTAGATTTCTACTTATTTGTCTCTCAAACTATGTTGGTATCTGAGTAGGTTGATCTAGACAGCTTCGAACGCATGATGCAACCCATGATCCACAATACTATATTAGATGATGACCTCCAAACCTCCCTCAAGCTTGCTCTAATTATCGTTTTACCTGATTTACCACTTGAATATTCGAGAATGTGAACAAATGCAAACAATGTCTACTCCTTTGACTCATGGAAGAAAATACAACAGCAACGTCAAACCCCAAGCAGTGTGTGCCACACAAGGCTGAAAAGGCTGAGATTGATCAGCCACAAACATTTGACCCCGCCAATGAATCTCGAGTCCCGTCAAGCTAATCTAATCCAAGATAGGCTTAGCATACGATAGGCTCTAGGACCCCACCACCAAAAACTTTAAACTTTCGATTGAGATTTTCCTTTTCCTTTCCTCCTTCCCTCTGGCATAAGCCAGGAAGGGTACCATAAATTTCGTCAAGTTTGTCAAGATGAAGTACGTTCTTGTATCTGGAGGTGTGTATATGATTGGATCATCTTTTTTGCTTTTGGATCAAGAAAAATGAGTGTTAACATGGTTTTTAGGTGTCATTTCCGGCATTGGAAAGGGCGTTATTGGTATGTTACCACATTTTGGGAGTGACGACAAAGAGATATGAAAGATACAAAATGAGTGATATACTGATGAAGTGGTTGCGCAATAGCCTCTTCCACCGGCTTGTTACTTAAGACGATTGGATTGAAGATATGTTCCCCATAAACCAAAAAATCAGGCAGAATCTTTGTGCTAACTTCGAAAGAACGTCACATCCATTAAAATCGATCCTTACATGAATGTTGATGCCGGAACCATGAATCCTCTCGAGTGCGTCTAATTTGTCTGTCTACGAAATCTGGGCTTGAGCTAATGGGCGAGTGTGTAGGCATGGAGAGGTCTTTGTTCTCGATGATGGAGGAGAAGTCGATCTCGATCTTGGAAACTACGAGCGCTATCTCAATATCACCCTTACTCGCGAAAATAATATCACCACGGGCAAAGTCTACCAGCATGTCATCGAGCGTGAACGTAGAGGCGATTATCTCGGAAAGACTGTCCAAGTTGTGCCACATTTGACCGATGCAATTCAAGACTGGATCGAGAGAGTTGCGCGAATTCCTGTCGACGACACAAAGGAGACTCCAGATGTTTGTATCATTGAGTTGGGTGGTACCGTTGGCGACATTGAGAGTGCTCCATTCATTGAGGCTATGAGACAATTGAAGAGAAGAGCTGGGAAAGGCAATTTCTTGCAAATCCATGTCTCTCTGGTGCCAGTTATCCAAGGCGAGCAGAAGACAAAGCCAACCCAACAAGCCATCAGAGACGTTGGTAGAGCTGGATTGGTCCCAGATTTGGTAAATTCCTCAACTAAAATTCCCGAAGTTCTGCGGGCTAATTATTCTAGATTGCTTGCCGATGTGATGTTCCACTCGAAAAAAGTACCATTGAGAAGATCGCGATGTTCTGTCAGGTTGAAGGCGAACAAGTCGTTGGTGTACACAATGTCAAATCTACTTACCACGTTCCTTTACTTCTCGAACAGCAAGGTCTTATCTCGACACTGAACAAAATTCTCAACCTCAACGAAATCTCCATGGCAAAAGCTGCTGTTGAAAAGGGACAGCGAACATGGGCCGAGTGGAAGTCCCTCACAAGCCAACAAGAACGCTCATTTGATGATGTTTCCATTGTCCTTGTTGGTAAATATACCAAACTTCACGACTCATACCTTAGTGTTATCAAATCACTTGAACATTCAGCGATGCGATGTGGAAAGAAGCTTAAGCTGATCTGGGTTGAAGCTGAGCACCTCGAGGATGATGCCAAGCCAACTGAGTTTCACAAGGCGTGGCATGAGGTCTGCACAGCAGATGGTATTCTCGTTCCTGGAGGATTCGGTGACCGTGGAACGGAGGGTATGATCGCAGCTGCAAAGTGGGCACGTACCAACATGACGCCTTATTTAGGAATCTGTCTGGGGATGCAAATTGCCGTTATTGAATTTGCTCGTAATGTCTGTGGCATCACTTCCGCTAATTCGGTGGAGCTTAATGCAAATGCAACCGATAAAGTTATTATCTACATGCCAGAGATTGACAAGGTAAATCTTGGTGGAACCATGCGTCTCGGATTACGCCCTACAGAATTCCAGCCGGGATCTGAATGGTCTCGTCTCCGTAAGCTTTATGGCGATAAAACCGAAGTCCACGAACGTCATCGTCATCGATATGAAGTCAATCCCGAGTATGTTGACCGATTACACGATGGTGGTCTTGAATTCGTTGGAAAGGATGACAAGGGTGAGAGAATGGAAATCGTTGAGATCAAGGATCATCCTTGGTACGTAGGTGTACAATTCCATCCGGAATACCTCTCCCGAGTCTTGGCTCCAAGTAAATCATACTTGGGGTTTGTAGCAGCAGCAGCGGGATGTTTGGAAAAGATCACGGAGGATTGTTTGAAAGCTGAGTTAGACAACAGCGTCAATGGGGATTTGTCAAATGGAATCAATGGTGTTACGATCTAAGGAAACTGGGACGGAAGGGACTTTTGCATTGGGTTTGGCTGGATGGAAGAATCATAATGTGCCCTTATGTTTGGCTATTTTATAGAAAAATATTCGAAATGGCGGATACATTTCATGGCGTTATCATGGCTGTAATTATACTGGATAAATGAGACATCTAAATGACATACCATCTCTCACTCCATCTCGCTGACAGTAAAGTGATACGCACAGTTGGATCCAGAGGAGTTGCCCGCAGATAAGTGTCTGAGTATCTCAAGCTTACTAATTTTGCGGAGAATGTGCATTCTTTCACAGGTTATTGCGAATGGGAGCAGCATTCATCTCATACGTGGAAACATCGAGGCGCCAAAGAGGAGAGAATTTCATAAGTTACTTTAATCGGAGAAGTCCAATCGAGATGGATCATGTCGGCCATTTATGACTGTTTGATGTCATGATCTCGACAGCGTCTTGTCAATTTCCCAAGATGTTAATTGAATTTTCCCTTTCTCCAGTCAAAGCATAATTACGCCCTCACATCCTACCCAATCCTAAACATCTTCCTCTTTCTCGTCAGTCCTAAGATCGTAAAGGAAAAGTTCAATCCCATGAATCGCTCTTCTCTCCTCCTCATCCTCGAATTCCCTAAAAACCGATAAAAGATCATTTCCCATCAACTTCATCGATTTTACCGGAATTCCCGTCTCTCTCTCGGCCAACATTTCTTTCATGTCATATATCGTCGTCCCGTTCAGTAATCCGGTCAAATATACAATGCCTTTTAGAACTTCCTCTTGGCCCTTGAACTCAATAACGGTGCAAAATAAAATCGAACCCTTGAGTTCAGGGATCTCAAGAGCGCGGAGTAGAAAGGGTTTGTCGACTTCTTTTTGTAAGCCTAGGGGGAACTCGGGCCAAACAACTTTTTCGGAAGATTTTTTCCGGGACGCTCTTCTCCCTCTGGCTCCACCTATTACGATTCCTCCTCCGATGTCTATCGATTCCATAGACGTATGACTTCCAAAATGGCGCCTGCCTCGTCCTTCGCCTGATGCGCTTGTTATTTTAATTCTTTCGTAATCTCCAAAGTCTTCGAAACCTCCCAAATCTCCCCCCGCATACCCGGCTGATCTTGTTGGCCCTCTCATATGTTCAGGAGTTTCCCTCTGGGACACTGGTTTCATATGTTCAGGCGTAGACTCAAATTGTCTCAAATAACTTGGCGTGGCGTCAGCTTCATAAGAGAAATCCTTAGGTCCCCTTGGGCTGCCTTGATTGTGAGTTGGCCGTTCATCACCTTCCCTTACCGTAGAAAGTGGGGGTCCTCTGCTAGGATTCATGACTCTCAGCACACCTTGTTGTTGCTGAGTAAGACTGGTCTGAGGAACACCGGGGAAAAGACCACCTCTTCTTGAGTTGTCCTGGAGTACTGCATGTTTCCAATTTTCTGGAAATGGAGCGGGCACTTTGTATTGTGGTTTTGTTCTTTGGCCCTGTGCTCTCATTGACATCGACAGGTAGTTATTAACAGATACTCTGTTTCTCATGACCAGCGCGCGTGTATGAACAGTCTCGTATTCGGACATGGCATCAATAGGATTCTCTCGAACAAATTTTAGGACCTCTTCTACTTTTTCATGCTCCACGGTCGCATAAAATAGTTCGAAAAGATCGAGTGGGTAGGATTCTTCTTCTTCCCTCACAGGCAGGCCAAGACCTCCCCCTGGCCTGGTTGTGATGTCGTTCCATGGAATCGGAAGCTCTCCGAGCTCGGGTTCGGGGGAATAGGGAGCTGGAAGCATGGGAGTTGCTAGATCTTGATACAATTTCTTAAATTGTAGGGTCCTTCGGTATAGATCTTCGACATGAATTCGAGCTTCGCCTTGTACGATCAGACAATCCATTACCAATTTGTGCAGGGTGTCACTGTACAATCGATCCCTGCGAACTTGTTCTCTGGCTCGATTTTCGATATCTCTCTTTAACTTAGCCATAGGCTTCTGCTCCTCAGGCTGGTCTGGATCTATCTCGCCCTCGGATTCAGATGGCAGTGCATCGTACGCTCCATTGTAGAAATCTATATCATCTTGTGTAGCAAGTGTATGCACTCCACCTACTTCTTCATTTAATCCTAGCCAGATATTCGCTACTTTATAAAGTTTAAGTCTAAATCTTCCCGGGGGACCAGGCCCTCGGCGTTTTTCATCACCTCCCCATTCCAAGTCGGCAATTGTCGAATATGCAAGTGATGAGTTTCCATCCTGGCACCATTCAGTTGTGTGTATCATTTGCCAAATTATTACTCCGAGTTGCCATACATTCGAGTGAGTTCCATAGCGAATATTGTTGAGAATATTCCCATCGCCTGCTTCACGCATGGATTTAGGCTATATTCGAGGATTAGTGCACGGAAAATGTGGCGTTGGGAGTAAGAAAGCATAATTGTTTTTGCACATACCATTGGATCCATCCACGGTCTTTCCAACGGACGTTCTCGAGTTCTAAGTTGTTCCTTGCAGAGAAAATTAGTCGCTGTATGTTCAGGAACCCAAGAGTGGACTTACAGGTAACTTATACCTCTCTGTTCCAAGGCGTCTATGTTTGAAATTGTAAAGTAGGTCTTGCTCAAGGGGTACCTCTGCGCTATGTCCGTAATCACCAATCTATTTATTTTACGTTTTAGCAATACGATAAATGTTAGATAGTCGTCTTATAACTAAAAAATGACAATCGTACCTTCATTATATTTGATCCTCTATGTTCATCATCTCTGGGACCAGCGCCCATAAAAACTGAGGAATGGTAAACAGGTATGAACTCAAATATGTGATCGAAGCTTTAGCTTACCATTTTGACCTTTAAAATCAAAGTGAACTATCTCATCCCGATCCCATCGGTCCTCATTCAGATCTTCGTGTCCAGAATGCATCGCGTATAGACCGCGGGCTATACAATGAAAAGCATCCCATATCTCATGTTCCTCAAATATAATTCTACACAGTCAGTTGCTATCATATCGCTCGATACAAAAACTTACCTATCATGGAAGTGCATAAATATCCAATTTGAGAGATCTCCCTTCTCACAATCTTCCAAATATATCCTAGTTACAGGACCAGTTCTATCCGCATACACCGTATTGAGACCTCGATCCTCATAGATCCTCCGAAACATCTTCACCAGATGTTGCGATTTCGTATGTCGCAGCAACTCGTACATTTGCGCTTCTTCTCGCATGTCTCCCCAGCCACCTCCTTGCTGTTTCACGACTATTCTTTCGAAGGGTAATCGACCCGGCGTGCCCTCTGGAGGTTGCCGATATGTTAACCTCCATTTTCCCGCTGTGCCATTCCCGCCTTCGCCCATGATTTTTACCCCCGTCCATGAGGGCACAGGTCCCATCCGACTTTCCTTGGACCAGAGTGGTTCGGAGGCTAACCATGCTCTTCCACGAGCAGTCATTTCTTGTTGGGTTGCGTTGTACATTTTGGGAGGCCTCTTATCGAGTTGGAATCCAAGGCGTTTCTCGGCCTCCTTCAACGTTTCGCCGGGTAGTAGTAAACTCATCTTGGTGTATCGTGGTGTGAGATTTCTAGCTTTGGATTTAGATTTATCCTACGTCCTGGAGGATTGACTAGGCTATTGGTTTACAACTAGCTATACGTAACCAATACACTGAGATTTGAATTCAATCGAACACGACTTGTTGGATAGCATATGGATATGTGTTTTGTATTACTGGAAATGGTAAATTAAAGTTGCTTTGTGGGAGGCATCTCCTTTGTTTCTTATGCACGGTGGCTGTTCTTGGATAACAAATAATGCTTCTTTGTGTACTTTATTCTTTGGTGTGTATTGAACACGAGAAATCTCTAGTGGATTAAAAGCCAGATAAAAGAAACAATCTTCTAGGAAAGACGTTAAGAGCTTTGCAGCAAAAAGCACACTGAAAGCTAGCAGGGAAGTAAAGACCATATTTTTCTCTCCTTATTTATGTTCGTTAGTCCGGTCGCTATTCTTCTCAAGTCCATATAGCTGGTTCGTACTCTTAATACCGAGGCAATATTATCGTTCTTTTTGACATGTATATTACTAGCTGGAATTTGAGCCTGCAGAATGTTCAATGGTCGATCGTTATCTATGCAATTAATCTTGAGATTTGAATTTCCGAGGCTTTCGAGGCACTTCACTACCAGTAGGAAACGGCTCTTCTTCAGGAAAAATCAAGTCCATATATATATCATTTCAATTCTGACTATGTGAATATAATCAAGGTATCTGCTTTCAACCAAAACCACCCAGTGCCGAATCCCGATACTGAAACTCCAAGCACGATAAGTGTCCGCTGCCTAACTCATCTCTTTCTTCTTTCTCCAGGGTATATTGCCATGCCACTCCACTTCAATCTCTAAACCTGATCTGCACCTTTATCATGCATTTCATGGTGTTCCGTCTCAACAGCCCCATTATGTTCAATTCCCTTTGAGATGTCATCCGGAAGGGTACCGAGTGCGCGGTCACCGAAGAGAAGGTCGATTTCTTCAAGGGAGAGTTGTTTAGTTTCCTTGAAGAAGAAAAATACGATCGGGATAGTAACTACCACGTTCCATGCTGTGATGAATTTCGTTAGTACATATTCTAATTTAACGACGAAGGGAAACCCAGGAAAAAAAAACTTACCAGCAAACAGGAAATAAAATTTCCACGTCAGCGCCTTCAAAGCTGGAGGCGAAACTTGTGCCCAGAAGGTAGCGACAAGCCAGTTACCAATACCGGTTGCAAATGCATTCCCACGAGCACGGATTTGCATGGGCATGACTTCGGACATGTAAACCCAGGAGATGGGGCCCCATGAGAAGGAGAAGATGACTGTGACGCAGAAAATGAAGAAGACTCCTCCGATGGAGAGACCGCGCTGTGCATTATCGGGATCAATGCGACTGTTAATTATAGATTGGCATACAAGAGCGATGGTGATACCGACGGTTCCCCAGAGGAGTGGCTTGCGACGTCCGACTCGGTCGATCATGAAGGTGATGAAGATGAGATCTGGAGTTTGTTGTTAGTTTCTGTTACCATACTGGGTGGTAGCAAATTTGACTTACTGCCTAGAGGTCCCATGCAATTGTAAATTCCAGAGACGAGTAGAGCTTTGTTTCCAGTGATTCCCAACGCCTTGTACATGGTATTTTGGTAGTAACCAATAACGTCTATCTCATGTCAGCAACCATATATCTCCTGCATTCTCTTCAAACTTACTAATTCCAGTGAATTGAGTAAATGCTTGAACAGCAACTCCATGACCCAATCTTGTTCTCCATTGTGGCACTGTAAACATGACTCTCCATCCTGGTACCGTAATTGCCTTTTCTGCTGCAATTGTTTCTTTGATTTCGTTAAATTCCCTGACGATGAATTCATCATTCGAACCGGTAAAATGCAATTTCCTTAGAATCGCCAATGCCTGATCTTCACGATCGGTTTCCATAAGATGACGAGGCGACTCGGGGAAGAAGAGAATACCAGAAGCGAGGATGATGCAAGGAATCATTTGTACAGCGAGTGGTACTCGCCATTGAATAGGACTGTCTTTTGTAACACCACAGCCATATCCTACCCAAGTTGATCTTGTATCAAGTCAGTAATCTCTCTCAAAGTTCCAGAGAAACAAGAAACATACACAATAAAACCCACTCCAATCATCTGTTGACTCAATCCCACAATCAATCCTCTAATTTTCGGGTCCGCACACTCAGCATTGTAAACCGGTACAGCCATACTGAGCAAACCGACCGCCCAACCTGTAAATATACGACCTACGAGAATCATGGCCAGATTCTGTGCAGCAGTTTGTAATACTGCTCCAACAAGACAGATCAATGCACCCATGAAGATCGTAATTCTTCGTCCATATCGATCCATAGTAAGACCGCCCTGAAGGGCACCAAACACAGCACCACCATTGAAGGTTGAGTTGATGGCACCGATAATAGAAGAATCTTGTGTGGTGTTGAAGAAGGTGAGGAAGTTTCGAGAGGCTATCACATCTGTCATAACACCTGCATCGTAACCAAAAAGAAACGATCTACAATCAAGAAATGATTAGAAACCTCCACATCGCTTGAGACAACATGTCAACGAAAACCTCAAACATACCCAGTAGATGCAAACACCGCCAACGAGATATTGAAAAGTTTTCCCATTTTGTCGTCCTAGTTCCCTTGAAACTACTTTATCGTGGAGCTCAAAGACAACGACGAGAGTTAAAAAAAAAGATTCAAGAACAAAATTCTTGGCAATTACAACGTAGAGTGGCATGGTACTATATCTATATATGAAGAGTACAAGACGACCCTGTCATGCCAATCACTGAATTGGTACATCTAGGTAGCATCTGCACTGCACCGGATAAAACGAACCTCTGTGTTGGAACATGGATAATTGGAACTCCTCGCCTATTTCCTCACCACGCCGATTCCCCAACCAAAGGAAGAAAAACCATGTTGAACCCGCATCTGCACATCCGAGGATATGATCCAGTGCGTATGCTGACGTCCATCTATTGGTGGAAATTATGTGCTTTCCATCACGAAGCGAAAAGGCTGGTGATATTCATATTTAGCCTAATTATCCTCTCCACATTTTCGCAGGCCAGGGGCTAACCTTCACTTACCCTGCCGAACCATAGACGCCTACTAATCTACTCAACCCCATGGAGTAAGCCTCAATGCGGGGTATTCCCAAGGTAAGATTTACCAACCGCTGGGCCAATTGGCTCCGCTCCATCTTAGTTCAGAAAAATCGGATCATCTTCTTCCATGGATACAAAGAGCTTAACGCTTCGCGAGTACATGAGTACGTTTACATTTACCCGGTCTCGAACCATTTCTCAGGTGTATGGTGTTTGCCACTACTAGGTACTTATTGACACGAGGTACGCACGAGACCAAGAACATTGATTGTTGACCGATCTTATGAGTCAAGGACTCTTCAATCCTTGGGACAGACGAGGCGAGAACTGCTGTGACCTGGGGGCAAAACACCATTATTTCGCATTTCGTTGTATTGTGGTGTCAACAATAAGGACATTTCTTTTTTCCATTCATCGAATGAACGATCCCAGGGCCACGACAATCATGAGGCAAAACCTAAAAGGACAACCATAACTTCTACAGATTTTACAACGGACCAATCAAATCGACACTCCAGAACTGATAGGCTGATTATGCAGTCGGACACTTTGAGTGTTTGTAGGGGTTGTTCGATACATTGGTGATTTGCGAAGAGACCTTCTAAATGTTGCATATACAAATATGCATGCGAAAAACTTAACCAATTTGACGAAGCTCTGATTCTCTCTGAGCTTCATCCCAGTGAGGACCAGAATTCTCAATTCGAACAGTTCTCTTGTTATTGGCGCCGCAACAAGATAGTGATAGGAGAGTAAAAATGATTAATATTTCTCCCCACATCAACCAGCCGGGCAAAACAATGTATGTCCTTATGACCTAGACTAATATTGCGAGTACAATAGATCCTCATTCGATTTCATTGAAGTGAAATTATCATTCCATTCAAACGATCAAGTCAAATCACTTCTAACGCTAAAGATCAGATCACTTCTGCTCTTTCTTCCTCAAATCGTCTCCCTTTAGCAAGACACTTTCGATTCCCGTAAATGCCACACATAAATCAATCAGCTCAATGATATTATCCAACGCCATGCCAGTCACAATGCATTCAATTACAAATGCTACCAGTTTCTCCAAGAAACTGTCAAGCATGCATACCCACTCCACCTACTAATATATACCCTGCGTACGATATTGGAAAGTGTCGTATCTATCCATTTTCAATTAGCACTCATCCACGATCAAGAGAGGGACAGAAAATCATACAATCGGGTATAATAACTCCCCAAAGACTTTCCAATCAAGTCAATCTCCACAAACGTCTCTGCTTCATCGGCACTCATTTGCAGCTGAAACCTCTGCCTCAGACTATTTGTTGCTTGAGCAACTCCATACGAAAAACAAGGCATCTTTGATTCTCGTCCCATCATACTAACGAGATCAATTAGATGATCTGCTGATCTGCGTAATGCTACATTTTGTTAGATGTTAATCGTCCATAAATATCCTGAAAATCATACCTTGGAAAGCTTGTTTGCATAACTTTTTGTAATCGTCAAATGCAGGTGACCCAACACCTCCTAGGACATCAACATAATCCTGTGTCAATTTGAAAGGGGCAGCTTCGAAACCAACCGACCCTGGAGAGTTGGAAAGCATAAAGCCGAAGTCGATGTGAATAATGTGCCCTTCGTTATCGATGAGAACATTACCATTATGTCGATCTTTCAACTGTAAAATGTAAGAGATAATGCTATATGCTGCGAGTGATCTTTTGAACGCGCCTTCTGCAGCTTTGTATGCATCACTGTCGGGTGGTCCAAAGGTCTTAACGAAATGATCTTTCAACGTGGCAATTCTCCTTCGGGGATTTTGTCCTGATTCAATCGTGGCAAGTGTGAGACTACGCTTTAACGAATGTAAGGATACACCGTTCGTGATTGTCTCTATCAAACCAGATGACTCTCCAGTAACCAAAATTCTCATTCGTTTGACCCAAACTGGAGTTCCTGCATCCTGCCAGATCTTATCACAGGATTGGATGAGCTGACATGCAAATGCTTCTTGTCGTAAATCAGCACCTGTTTTTACGATAACACTCAAAACATCCCAATTCTTCATCCACCCATATGGCGAAGATTTTCTGATACGTTCTTTCTTGACATTCCACGCTTCTCCAAATGTTGCAGCACTTGGATCGTCTCTATCCCCTTTTCTTTGGACACCACCAGTCTTTTGATCGTTCTCCATTCGAGCTGCTCCAGCTCCAACATTAATCACAGCATCCGGATCGGTTGGTGATTCTTCCTCGATATCTTCCGGTGCAACATTTGCTGCTGCTGCGTTCGCTTTTTCCATAATCATGTCAAAAGTCTGAGGTTGCACATTGTCTTCTGAGTCGTAGTTTTGCTCTTCAAGACTCTGTATACTGGCGATAATTTTGTGACGAATTGCATCAACCTCATGTTTGGGTCTTTTCCCACTCGTTGAATTAAGCTGGGTAAGCATTTGTGTAGCAGTCCTGATATGTGTTGTGAGGGTAGAAAAGTCCGGTTGATCTTTCTCTCCTGATCGACCTGCTCCAGGAATCGTCATCTTCCTTTTCGGCGTAGGACTGATAGATCTAGACGTTGATGTTCCGGATGTCCTAGGTGTTGCAACACCGGATAAGCTTGATAAAGTCGTTGCACCGCTTGATTTGCGCGTAGGCCGGGAGGCCGTTACATTTCCCTTATAAGTCGGGGTATGGACGTCCTCCTCGTCATGATCTGTTTCTTTGATTAATGGTGAGCTGCCCAAATCGCCACTGATCGGCTCAAAAACACTATCGGGGGTATTATCCGTACTTTTGATGATGTGACTACCGTACAATCGTCCAGATTCCGAGAGGTCAAATCTTCGTCTCTTATGGGTTCCTTCCTCTGACACTAATCGGCTCAATAAACGTTCATTGTCTAAAGTTTCCGGATTGAAGGAGAAGTCATCTCGAAGTACTTCTACCATCAAAAGATATGGTACTTTTTCGGCGCTATTCAATACTGTCGCTTCCGCTGGGTTCAGACGAACAATACGGTGATGTTTACTTTTGCTAGGAATTCCATCCACGAGAGTGGCGGGACAGATGACTGGTATATCAACTTCAGCTGGTAAGTCCTGAGCAATAAGTGCAAGTTCAGCACGCAATGCACTAAGACGCGCTGGCTTTGGAACAATAACTAAACGATTTGATATATCCTCCAGAGCTGTTAAAAACTGAGTCTCAGAACGAAAATAGTTCTGCCTTAATAGTTTAACTTTTTGCTTGTCAGTCAATGATGCTGTAGTGACGATTTTCCCCCCATGTGAATGCTGTGAGTATCTTTTATTGATAGGTTCGGTCAATCTTGTTGGAAGACCAGCTGTAACGGGTGTTGCTGGTCTACTAGGTAAATTTGGATTTCTTAATTCAGGAAGAGATGCCGAGCTTGAATTTCGAGGGTCTAATGCTTTGAGGTCTAAATGCGAAGGCCGTATTTGTTCTAGGGGCACCTTTCGGCTAGATTTCGATGAGGTGGGTCTTGTTAAGGAGTTCGATCGAGCCAGATCTGGTGGGGCTTCAGAGGGTCCAGCACTATTCAGACCACCACTGCCTGGAGCGCTGCCAATCCTTGCGGCTTCTCTCCTCTGCTTTGTTCGTGTAGATCCCGGTGTCGTTGTATGACTTCGAACAATCTTTTGTGTCTGCATCTGACTGGTATCTGCGACCACATTCCCTGTACTTTGAGGCTTCCGTGCCTGTGAAATAGCCAATGGCCCAGCCCACTTTGGTAGAAAAGGAACTGCAATACTCGCTAGGACGAAACTTGCTAGAACAGTAACAGGTAAGACATTCTCACTGATCTTCTTCGTTGGAGCCTCCGATACCCCGAATACGATATGCTGGACCTTGTTATATATTCGCCTGCATGTTTTGAAAGCTTCGGATTGGGGATTCGCAGAAAGATCGTGGAGATATGTTTGAAACAACCAGAATGTCTACGATTCTAGTTAGTGATTCGTCCAATCTTCTAAGTCTTGTCTCCAAACACACCAATAATGCAGCATTGACCGATTCCTCGCACAAATCCAGAATGAATTCCTCCAGAGCCACAGACTCATTATCGACACTGATAATTAGGTGACATAGCTGCGGGAGGAAGAACTCAATCTCCTCGTAACTAAATTGTCGCAACTTCGAGCAAAGAACATAATGTATGCCAACATGGTCTGCATACCGTCTGCCAACTCAAGCAATCAGTAAAGAGACTCTGCGATTGAATGGAAAGGGGTAATTGGCATACGAAAGATAGGCTACGGAGAGGAATGGATTCTGATTGAAAACATCGGACTCGATAAATCGCTTTAACAAATCCCAAGACATTTGGTGACTCGGGATCAGCTCCTCAGTTTGCCTAATTCTTGAGTTATAGAAAAGGGTTTGAAGATCAGGGGGGATTTGAGGCGCAATGCCTCTAATAATCTCGGCATTAACAGATTATAAGTATTGTAGTTATCATGACTATGTGAGCCAGAAAATGAGTGTGAGAAAGGTACAATAACTGAGGAAGTATGTATGTATATGTATGTGCAAGAATGAATCGTTTGGTGTCAAATCAATTTCGTCGTCTTGAGCTTGGTTGACCGGTATCTGATTGTATCCTTTCGTATTAAGGTTTGAAAGTGGCAGAATTGGAGAAATGTAAAAGCGGCCAGAAAAGTGGAGTGAATAATTTCAAGGACAGCAAGGCGACAGCCTTAAAGGAAAGTCGAGAACAGCCTCACCGGGAGATTTCGAAGGGTTCTATCAGTCCCGCCCGTTTAAGATAACCAAGAGTTCTCTTATCCACTTGTCTCAGCCTTCTCTTGCATTTTGTCCTAGCATATAACGGTTTTCATCTCGTCGTCGATCCTTCAAATATTCTTGATTTCAGGTAGAATGAACTCTTGTTCATTTCGGAATCAAGTGATTGCGAATTCAGTTGTTCTTGGTTATTATTTGATGAGATAGTACTCACAATCAATTTAACGCCAAATGTCATTTACTTACAGAGCCAAAGAAAAACAAATCACTTCAAATACACAATACCGTATTCACTCTCTATGATATCGATATCTGCACCGACTCAAACAGTCAATTGATGATTGCTACCTGGGATAATTTGACAATATCTCCTGAAGCGTGCCTGAAATCTACCTGCTCAGTACCCCCCTCCTATTGATCCTATGAGATCGATTATATCCATCTTATTCCTTGTTATCGACCATATGATTCCGTTGTGGTTCTTTGGCATATACTTCAAGTGAAACTTTAGCTGCGGTACTTCTTCTGGAAAGTACTGACTATATTGATATTATGCCACTCTTGCGTGGCGTCACAAGTGTGAACTCATCCCGTTAATATTCGTTATCCAATTTCTTTTGATTCGTGTGGATACGCTTCGAGTGAGCACCTGGGTTTAATACTGATCATTAGACATGAGACGCCAGAACTAAGACATAAATCTTCTGACGCAAATGTTTTCTCAATTGATCGGTGGCTGTAATCATCCTCACCGGTCTCATTCAAACCCACATCCGGTGAAAACAATCAGTAAGATATCCGAGTCTAACAGCCTAGTAGTTGCGCACGTTTTCGAAATCGAATTGTAATGACAATCAAAATATATTACTCGCCTGTGAGTGCTATCTCAGATTCCTCTTTCGTGATTCCTACCCCTCATGATTCGCCCATCACATTAAAATCTTGTAGCACATACCTATCACCCCCAAAGTTCATCCTTCCGCCATCTCCTCCCGCCCCCACACTTTAGCACCTCTTCTTTTTCCCAGATCCAACAATCCCAGACCCCACTCTCCCCCCTCCATTCCCCACCGATCGGTTTCCTCGCCAACATCTCCGCCTCTACCCCCTCCTTCCCTCCGAGCACCTCCCTCCCAACCACAACCCTCAACCTTCTAATCGCATCTTCCCCAACCCTTTTCCTTTCCCCATTCATCCACTCAAACAATCTCCTCGTTCTCTTCCCCAACTCTTCTTCCTCCCTCTCACATCTTTCCACTTCCACTATATCCGCTTTATCTTGTGGCTTACTATAATCTAATTCACTTATCTCTGCTTCCCCTAATCTTCCGTTCATCTCTGGTCTTATAACGCTTTTTATTTGATGTCCCCAGCATTCAGGTGCCGGGACATGGAATTCGAGGCTCTTCAACCGAGGTTGTTGAGTAAAAGGAGTGAAAGCTTTATACATCTCTTCATCTGAAATTTCCGGATCAATTCCATCGGTCCTCCAATTATCATTCTCGGAGTTTGAGAGGTTGGAGCCGGGGAGTGACGGTATCTCAATCGCGAGATCTTCAATTGACGGCAAATTAAGAACAGAAACCAGTATGGGCATCTGCTTTGGTAGTCGTGAGCCTGGTCCCCAAGAGGGAAATTGTATCCCATCGTACAAGTGAAGCCTTGTGAGATTCGTATGTTGCAATAGCGCACCTAGTAATTTCTTTGTAGCTGTATATTCAGTTGTGGCGTCGCTGCAGTTCATCATTTTCGGGAACGAAATATCACGGATCGAAAGAGATGTAAGACTTGTTCCGTTACTCGCTATATCCTCCAGAAAATCCACTACTGTTTCCCATTTCGTTTTTACGTCATCTTTCCATGAATTTAGCATTCCATCGATATTCAGCTCTTTCAATCCAGTTAATGCACCCGCGATCCCCAGTTCCTGCATTGCAACCGGACCAGGTTGTACCATATGCAAAGTCTTCAATTTAGACCAATCCATAACTTTTAACCAAACACTCAAGTTAGACACCCCGTCAGGAGAAGGTAGTCGTTCAAGGGGTGTATAACCAATGGCGTCCCACCTATAACCCAGATAAAGCTCTCCCAACCAACCAATATACCACATTGGGAGTATATTCCAAGGAAACTTGACACGTGTCCGCCAATCGACTTTGGGCGTTTCGATATTCCCATACCATCCAGTTCCCCCATCAGGCGATTCCTCAAAATTATATCCTTCGACGACCAATTTTTCCAGCGGGGGAAGTCGTATCGATGTCATATTTTCCCGATCGGTATTGAATTCGCTCGAAAGAAAGGGAAATGCCTCAATCTGATTACCAACCTCGCATCCATGATACGATAATCTCAGCTGCAATTCCCGCATATTCGGGGGGTGAGAGCGCAGAATCTCGAAAAGAAGCCGCATCGGAGCTGGATCTGCCGGGTAGAAATTCATCACATCGGCATGGAGGGAATATAATAATGGAGAACCGAGGATCGAACGCGCATCTTCATGTAGATGATTTCTAATGGCGTTGGAATCCTGTGAGGCTTTGTAATAATATTGATTGGGATCTCTCGTAGGGGGAAGATTGTGTAAGTAAATGCGGATATCTGGATTCGTTATGTTGAGATTGGAGAGTATCTCGGAGGAAATAGCTTTCCGAATTTTCCAGTGCAGTATTGAGAGATTGGAAAGATTGGTAAGGAGATTTGTAATACCGGTCCAGTTTGCGCTTTGGATGTATGGCTCATAGGAACCTGTAATTTCGAATGTTTGGACTGCTTTTCTGTATTCGATGGATGTGGGTTGATTGAAAAATTGAAGTAATTCGTTGGAATCTAATACATCATCTGGGCTCTCAAAATCGATGTGAAGGTTCTGGTAGACCTCTGGCGCTTTCGGCTTGAATGCTCTTGATGAAGAAATGTAGATTTCATCTGACAGACCCATATCCGATTCTTCAAAGGCTGTCCATTCTTCTTCAAGCACTATCATATCGTCCCGTTCATCAAAAGCCTCACGAGCCATCGTTTGTATGATCAAAAATACCCAAACCACGAGAAGTAGCACACTCGAACGTGAAAACTTATAACCACACGAAGACGCCATATCGAATCTCAGTAACAGTGAGTAGCTTGATCATCATCACACTGATAATCTCGTACTTATGTACCTTTCTTTCGTCATGTCATCCTTTAGGCAACTGTGCCCCATGATTTGGGTATTATGTGTTCTCAACCGACAACGTATGTGTATTCTCACCACCCCGCGCCGCAATCCTATTCACTCCATTTCTGCCTTGAGAAATCTACAAGCTTAAAGGATCGAAACAATAATGTTTGTCATTCAGTCATCATGATTATCTTACTCCGCGAATAAAATAGCATATGATAATCCAGAACGATAACGAAAATCAATAAATCATACCATCACGTGATTGCTTTCAAAACTTCTTTTCTCCTTATTTGATCCCAATAAATAAACGATATCACGAACTTACAGAAAAACAACAAGATCGATAATTGAAGAAGCATTGCTTAATACTATGTATAGGTCTCGTAGGTAGATTAATCATTGAGTCACAGCTGCAACAAGCCTCTCATCCGAAACACCCCCCTCAGAAGAAATTCCCCATCAAATTCTCCATACTTGCATCCATCCCATTCCAAATCGCACCACTACAATGAGTTCCTCGTGAAGAAGTAGCGATCTAATTCCCCTCAATTCCATCCGACAAGGTTATATTACCTAAAACAACATAAAAACACCAAATCAAATTTTCTTTGGATTTCGATCTTGAATTTGATACGCGATTTGATGACCGAGATAGATGTTTCATTCTCAGATATCCGAGCCCGGATGATTAATTTATAGGGTCCTTTTTGAGCGAATGCTGAGTCCGGACTGCTCGTTTTGAAGTATGTCTGTTTGATCGAGTATAATTATCTTCGATGTTATACTCATCGCCCACGTGTCAGACACCTAGCACATTTAGAAAAGACATCGCACAGTCTCCATGTGTTGAATGATATTGATTTTGCATCTCAAATGCCACGTCGAAATGCACAACGGAGATAGAAATATCGTAAAAGAAGTCACAACACACACACTCTCTCTCTTCACCCGCCATGATTCACAACCGTACCCACCTACCCAGATAAGAGGGACTCAATATAAATCACCCATCGCACTATCCGCCAAGCAATCAAATCAAGCAAAGTCATGACCACATCTTCATTCAACATAAGTCAGTCCGACTTCCCTGCCCTTTTCCCACATCTTAGAATGCCATCTTACTCGTCTAGCATCCATTCATCTCCTCCAAACATGCCAATTATTTTCCCAAGTTCAATATGTGCTCGATCATAAATCTACTTTTCAACCACCAATCTATCCATCCATTTACCAAACACACCCTATTTCGGAGAGTTTCCCCGCTACAAGTCACGAGTAGCTACCGAGTTGACTGAGAAACTAGAATAGCTAGGTATACTGCTTACTAGCTAGTGACTTCTCTAGCTATACTTACCTACACTCTGGTTCAATATGAACGCGCTTGTATCTTATCCATTCCCTTGATCCGGTAGGAAGATAGAAAGAATTGCTGGATGTGAGAGAAGAGGAAATTATTGAACATCTATCTGAAAAGCAATGCAGAGGGGGAAAGAAAACGAGTGAAAAAATTGCAGTGAAATGATACACGCAGATATAGTCATCCGGCCAAAAGGAATTCCGATCCTCCATCTACCATTCTGAGAAACTTTGAAAATACTCTATTAAGACGCGTCACTGAACACTAGGCAGGGATGAAATGAAGTTTGGAATTGAAGCCGAAAACATCATCACCATGACGAAACTCCAAAACCCATCCTCACCCATCCATCCCAAAAAATATCTCGCACCAATTCGGTTCCGACTCTCCAAGAAATACAAAACCACTACTCAAGCATTCAAGCCCCAACCTACCAAGACAAGACCCCAACCCACCCCCATATCACGACATGGCAACCGACCAGTCCATCACAATTCAAGCAAACCGATGTAACTATACCAGGATACATGATGTAATGTGAATCATTGTAAATGGATGAGGCTGAAGATCAGAAGAAAGAGTGAAATTTGATTTTGTGGGTTGTTCGTTGCATCTCTGTATCCTATCTATCAGGAAGTGATCGATCCGAGGCACTGGATAGAAATGCTAGGTAGTAATACCAGCTATGTATCTGTCTATACTGAAAACTCTATTCGCAGTACGAGATGAAATGAACTTTGTGAAAACAAATATGGATTGGAGTGGAGTGGACATATACTAGGTAGTTACTAGGTAGATATCGAGATGTCGAGAAAATCAATGGTGCAGTACGAAGTACATGACAGCATCTCCCCAATCACCCACCCATTTATTCATCTCATGTGATTCCGATCCGAGGATTTTCCAATCCTACCTAGGAAATTATTTCTGTCATTTGTATGGGATATCTAGTACAAGGACTGGACTGGACTGGATATGATATGATATGGAACGAAGACGCAGCGGTGAACTATCACTACCTACCTACCTACCTAGTATACTACACATACATACATACTACCAAAATGCATCATCATACTCGTTCCCATTGTCGATCATGGGAGCTGTGATTAATTTGAATTGGGGAGGATGGAGTTGGTGTAACCTCGCTTTTGGGATGGGAACGTGAGGTTTTATGTATGTATGGAGCGGGGGAGGGAGGATCCACTTGTTGATTGTAACATTGGGGGATGATGGTGATTATGTGAGGATGGGATTGATTGATCGAGATGATTGCTTACGGTCTGTGGAGAGCACATCGGATTGGATTTGCATCGATCCTTTTAAGGCTACCGTTGAATGCTCCGTGATTCAAGAGTCAAGCCTTATCATTTATGGAGAGGAAGGACACGGACTGATCATGATAGATGTCTATCTAGCGCGAGATGATTGATAAATCATGAATGTGGCTCGAGTGTGGATAATCGGACTGTGAGTTGATGTGATTTGGAAATGTAAGATCTTACAAAGTGATCTTCGGTCGGCATGCACTCAAGTTTGGATGAATGAGACATGATGATGAATATAGAACCAATGAATACCTACTATAAGTAGATGGAGAAGATTTACAACCTGTGCGATTGAATATCCTTGTTTTGTCTTGTGCTCCTTTGGATTGTTAGGTACTAGGTAGGTAAATATGCCTGCTTGCCTACCTCGATACCTACCTATAGCATTAGGTATTTATCAGATTCATATTTCTCGAATCGTGATTGGACTGGAATGAGTGGCTGACTACTGAAAAAGTTCGGGACAGTGGTAAGAACCGGTGGACCTTTCGTGTTTTGGTGCTGCCGTCAGAACTTTAGATACGAGTTCTTCTGTTCATTTCCTAGAAGGGAAGGGCACACGGGGAACTAAGGTCTCGTGCTTATTACTAGGGGTGTGATGATTGGAAATCTATCTAACTTATACCTATTCTATGAGGTACCTTCTAGGTAGGTAGGGAGGTAGGGAGGTAGGTAAGGAAAGGCAATTCCGAAGATGCTACGGAGTACGGCTAGTCTTTGAAATAACTAGAGAGGAAATGAAATACCGAGCAGACCAGAGGAAATGCTTAAATTGAATTGAGTTGTGGTGCGGGCGGCTAGAATGTATACTATCTATCTAGGATCGATTAGATCGATATCTAACATCCAATCCGTCAATTTATAGTCAACAACGCTTCATCGTATACGAAGAAAGTAAACCGACTGTCCAGAAAGAAAATCTAGTCATTCTTCGGAAAGATACAGGATTGCCAGATGGCAATCATGAGGAGGAGAAATAACATCGGCTGCAACAATCACCACTACAAGAAGAACGCACACAAGAGGAAGGTTGGGAAGATTGAAAATAGGGCCGGATGGATTGTGATGATTGATGTGGTACTAGGAATTCGGGCGAGAATTAACGGTGTGATATGTCGGGTAGTTAGCGATGGGGATGGGATTGGATGAGCGGTGATGAGATGATAAATGATGAGATGATGGGATTGATCAAATACTGTATGAAAAGATAGAATCATAAAATCATAGAACGATAAAAGGATGAGACAAGCTGTATTTTATCAACAATTATCTCTCGGAATCTACCAGTAGATTGGTAAGATATATCAGTTCAGTTGGTGATTCAATTGGTTTTGGTTAGATGGAGTGGATAGAACGATGATGAGATGTATCTACCACTAGTTGATCTATCTGGAATTTCTGGATAAGTTACTAGATAATAGATATTAGATACTAGATACTAGATACTAGATAGGTGATACCATACCATCCTTTCTTTCCAATCAGTTGGGTTTTGGTATCGTGATATGGATTACTACATGCTACATACTACATTCTCCACTATTTTGTTTTGTATGGTGTTGATACTCGAGGATGAATGCTGATATCGATATCCATACTAATAATATTGATATTACAACTGATACCAATACCAACACCAACACCAACACCAACACCACTACCAATCCTCAAGATCAAATGAACATCTAGTCCTATCTGAAACCCATCCATCCCAAGTAATCCATCCCATCCTACAAAGAGTAGAAAGGCATACGACAGGTTCTTCTCTCCTTCTTCTTCTTCCTTCCTCCCTTCAATATTAATATCACACGTTACATAGATATGATCAGCATCTTCAAATGGGTGGTAAGATGAATTACAGTATCCTACCCCCATTCAATGTAGTAATTATGCCATGCAACCATCCGTTAAATCCAGATATTTTTTTATGCAGCCAAGATTTCATTCCAAGGTCGAATCCATGGATCGATCCACTGGAACCCTTGCCCCGCATTCTGGTCCGTATGTATGGTTGTTTAGCAGTTGCGATTGTTTTCCAACCACTCTGGACGTTGGATATGGGATATGGGATATGGGATATGGGATATGGGATCTTGAACTGTGGATCGTGGACCTTGGTCTGTGGAATTTCCTGCAGAAATGGTATAGATGGGTAAGATGAATTACTAATAAGGGATTAATCATTCGAATCCTGTCAATCTATTCAAACCAAATCAATATATTCCATTCAACAAATCCCCACGAGTCAAGATTCATATCATTTCCATGTCTCTTCACTCCAACCTTCACTCCATCCAGCCTTCACTCCCCTACACACTTCACTCCCCTTCCATTTCTCACCAGTCACATCGCTTCCCTTCCCTTCCCCATGTCAATTATCGTGCGGAGAAAGTGACTAATTTGAATCATTTCTCACTTACCAGACAACCTGGAAGCCCAAGCTCCAATTAAACCGCCGGGGGGTTGATAAGTCGTGCATGAGATGGCTCCTTTTAGAGAGGAAAGAAAAATAAATTGGCGGGCACAGATAGATAACGTATCAAATGATCATCACATATTCACACATACCACATCAATCTTATTACTAAATCCAGCTGATTTATTCCATTCTCGAATATCTAAAAACACGGGGGAAGAGAATTGTGGATGCACCGTGCAGGGACCGGTAGGGGTCGAGAATCATGATGCAGCATATAAGTAGGTAGTTGAAGAAGCGCATCGTGGTTGATATACGATGTCCTGGTTGCTAGTGCTTCATAGGTTGAGAAGTATAATATCACTTTGACCTCGCTTTACCTTACCTCACCTCACCTCACCTCACTTCACTTCACCTCAACGTCACTCCATCTTGACCTCACTTTATTTACCAGTCTAAAATATACATATTTTCATATCGATTCATTTTCCCAGGCTGGGAAAGACGAGACCAATCTTAATATTCACCAGAGATTTGTTCCCAATCTCATCGGAAGAACGGATTTGCGGCTGGGAACGGGTTGATACCTGTGGTGTCACTTTTATTTGTGTACAGGTCAACAAGGTGATTGGATCGTATCGAGGATTAAAAGGCGCACTAAGAGTGGATTTTTTCTCCACGAAGGCTTCAAAAATTCCTCTACCGCAGCAAGTCATTTGCATAAGAGTTTCTTCACACAGCCTCGCAAATCTATCCCCTTCAAAACTCTCCCACAACACATACCTTCTTCACCCATCCACCGTCTTTTCCATCAAGATCGATTCCTTAACTCACGTTACACTCTTTCTCAATAATACCCATCACACCTGATATTCCCAAACAATAATTCGCATTTGTACAGTCAAGATGGAGAAAGAAGCTGCCCATGCGCATTCCCCAGAGGTTGCCTCAGTTCAAGATAATGTCGATTTTCGCACCAATACTCCTACCACCGCCGTCGATCAACAAGGATGGAAGTATAAGCATCGTCGATTCCTGGGCATGTCCTTTTGGTATGCATCTCCTCGAATTCAACTTACCATGGTTGCTTTCGTCTGTTTCCTCTGTCCGGGTATGTTTAATGCGCTTGGTGGTCTTGGTGGTGGTGGAAAGGCCGATCCAACTCTTGCAGATCATATGGTGAGTTTTCTGTCTTTGGTACTGATGTCTCCCCGAATTTGATTATCCATCTTGATATTCATCATAATCATGGAATTTCGCCATATCAGATCGAGACATTCCCACCCAAGTCACGAATTTCTTACTAATTGGAGAATTTCTAGAACACCGCCCTCTACTCCACCTTTGCAGTCTTCGCTTTCTTCGGTGGAACTTTCGTCAATAAATTGGGTATCAAGACTTGTTTGGCCTTTGGTGGTATTGGATATTGTATTTATGCAATTTCTCTCCTCGCCTCGGTTCACGCAAACGTGGGTGGCTTTAACATCTTCGCCGGTGCACTTCTTGGTGTTTGTGCTGGTTTACTCTGGACTGCACAAGGAACTATCATGGTTTCCTATCCGTATGAAGGTGACAAGGGAAAATACTTTGGTGTTTTCTGGGCAGTTTTCAACTTTGGTGCGGTTCTTGGTGCTTTGGTAAGCTTGATACACTTTTATTTCACCCTCGATGTACTCGAGTTTATCTATAACTTGATCTGCTTTCTTCGACCTTCTCTGTTTCTTCTTATGTGAAGTTTCAGGACGGAGAGAAGACGTCACTTCAGGCACTCTAAATAACCTCGGAAGATCACAGACTAACATTCTTTAGATCCCACTTGGTCAAAATATCAATGTCAAGACCAACAGTACTGTCACTGACGGAACTTACATCGCATTCATCATTCTCATGTTTGCCGGTGCTGTCTTAGCTCTCTTTTTATGTAACGCCGATGACATTGTTCGGCCTGATGGCACCAAAGTTGTTCTCATGAAACATCCATCCTGGAAATCCGAATTCATCGGTCTTTATGACACCATTGTTCAAGAACCATTTATCATCCTCCTCTTCCCCATGTTCTGGGCTTCCAATTGGTTTTACACTTATCAACAAAATGGAATCAACGCCGCTGTTTTCAATACCCGTACTCGTGCTCTCAACAATGTCTTATACTGGACTGCACAAATTTTCGGCGCCATCATCTTCGGTTTCGGTCTCGATGCTGGTAACTTCCGTCGTTCGGTTCGTGCCAAGTCCGCTCTCGCTCTCCTTTTCTCTATCACCATGATTACTTGGGGTGGTGGATATGCCTTCGAGAAAACCTACACGCGTGAGAGCACCAACTCGGCTACCGGAGGCTATGTTCCCGTCGACTGGAATGATGGAGGCAAAAAGTACATTGGTCCTATGTTCCTCTACATCTTTTATGGATTCTTCGATTCCGCGTGGCAAGGATCGGTTTACTGGTTCATGGGTGCCCTCTCTAACTCTGGTCGTAAATCTGCCAATTATGTCGGTTTTTACAAGGGTATTCAATCAGCTGGTGGTGCTGTCATGTGGGCATTGGATGCTAAGAAACTTTCTTACCGTGATGAATTCATCAGTAACTGGGTTCTCCTCTCCGTTTCTTGCATCATCGCTGCTCCTGTCATCTTCATGAGAATCAAGGATACCGTTACCGTTGAAGAAGATTTACAAGGCACAGATGAAACACTCGCAGATGTGGTTCCAGAAGGCCACGCAGAGAAATTGGGTGGTGGTCATGAATTGAATACTCATGATCCTCTTTCTCGTTCCGATAATGTTTAGATACTTTTTTTCGGTGGCGTCTTATACTTTTCCTTTCGAGACTAATTCATCGCGCTGGCTTTCATTGATTTGGCTTTGGCATGGGATTTCTGGTTTTTGCGCTGTGGTGGATGGAAATGGGTGGTGGGGGTAAAAGTGATGGATAAATGGATGGATAGCCAAACAAAAAGACGAACATACTTCACTCCTGAAATTACTTACTCTCTTCTCGTTATCTTTCAACGTCCTATCCGACACGCAAGATCAAGAGAAATGTAATGGTCTTTCAAAGCTAGTTTTTGACTTGTCAGTCAGTTAATTAGTTGATTGGGTCATCTCTTCTCTTCTTTCTCGTCCTCGAAGATAAAGAAGTATCAGAGTTGACTTTGGGAGGGAATTTTTTCATATTTCATGTTTCATTTTTTTCATACTAGGCGAGGAGAGCAGGAAAAAAAGTTTCATTTTCTAAGAGCGCTTCTTTCTCTGGCTCTCGACTTCCTCTCGCTCTTGTTAATGGCTGGGCTGGGCTTGGGTTCAACTAGAACTGGGTTGGGATTACTGATGTTAGGTCTTTGATGTTAATCGTATCATAGACAGACAGATGAGGGGTTCATGAATTGCATGCATGATTTGATAGGGATTGATAGGATCTGATATGATTGACAGGGCATATGAATTGAATGAATGAGTGGATTGTGCTTTTAGCTTTGCTTTAACTTTGGTTGAGCTGGTTTGATTGGCTTTGGTTTTAGATACCTCGAGGGCTATGCTTTGCTATGCTAATTATGCTAAGTTAGTTCGTAGTTAGATACCTACCTATCTTCCTAAGTAGTTAGTGAAGAATTTAAAATCTCTACACAAGAACTAATATGTTACTATACTGCTATATACTAACTAGTAATTTCATGATGATATAATAATATATGTAGTAATAATGTAGTTTATCAGTGGATTGGTTATATCAATGGATTGATTACTTTTATCTTGAATTATTATTTTATATTCAATATATATTTTCTTTATAATTAATTATAAAAATTCATTTTAAAAAAGTATATATAATCTTAGCTATTCAAGCTATTAAATTAAATAAAAAATTATCAATTTAAAAAGCAGCTTAGTTTTATTATATACCTCGAATTATATTGGGTAATAAAATTCAAGGTAAATTTAATATAATTGAAAGTTAATTAAAAAGTTATAATTTATTGAATTAGAAGAGGAGGTACTTATTTAATATATTCTTGATATAGATTTGAAAGGTTTTCTATTTAAATTTAAGAATATAAAAGATATAATAAATTATATTTTTAAATCGAAAAGTATGAAATATATTGGAAAGTTTTAAGTATATTAATTCATAAAGTATTAAATCGAATTAAAGATATATTTTAATTATATTTATAATTTTTAAAGAGTTTTTTATAAAAATCTTAAGTTTATTAAAAAATGGTTTTAATTAATTATAAATATATAAGTGAAATATAGTATTTTGAATAAAGATTTCTATAATTTCAATGAAACAGACTTTATAATGGGAATTATATACATAGTAATGATTATTACTAATGCTAAGAAATGTAATAAAAGTAAATCTATATAGCCAGGTAATTGAGAATAAATTATAATAATAATATATAGAAATAAAGAGGGTAAAACTATTTCCTTATTTCTAATGGTTTAGAAATAGATCTATCTTTTCAATTAATATACTAAAACCGATCTTTCTATAGAATAAATTATTAAATCTATATTTAATAAATAAACAAATAATAAGACAAATTTAAAACAATTGAAATACTTTAATAAGTATATTAAAAATCAAAGAAAGGGTAAATATTAAATGTTAATATTAAATGAATATAAAAGCTACAAATTAATAGCTTTTTAAGTATACTATAAAAAGAATGATATTATATATTTATATTTATTATTATATTCAAATCATTTAACTTAATTATTTAATATTGATTATTTTAATAATTTAAAATGTTTATATAATAATCAAGTTAATAGATTTATTGTTGGGCAGACTTGGTAAGGTGTATATATATAATATGTATGGGTAAAAGGGTTGTTTATTTCTGTCTATCCTCTTCGTATAAAGAGGGAATTACTATATCTATATACATGTATTACTCCCATTTACACACTTCATGCATATGTGGGGTAAAGCGTGATATGTAATGTCACATTGTTGATCACATGTTTCGACATTTATTAAGGTATATATTAATTATATTTCAAAGATTAAATTCTTTATAGCTTTTAAAATTATATATAAGAAATCAATTAACTTTCAGAATATAAAATCAAAATTTCAAGAAATAGATTTAATTCTATTCAATTCTAAAACTATATTCTCGAAATTAAATATTCAAATTTATATATCTACCCTCCTCTCTTTCAATCTAAATTAATAAATCTCTTAAACCCCTTATAATCTAGTTAAAGCTTTTTCTCAATTAAAATTAATTAAATCTCGAATAACTTATTATCAAGTAAGCTTCCTTATATTTATATTTGAGATTGTACTAATTTTAATTAAGAGTATAAAAAGATTAATTTATAAAAATACATTTTTAAATATAAAGAATTATATACTTTGGATAGTAAATGAAATATTAAATAAATATTGATATATATAAAAAATCTAATTATATTAAGAAAGAGTGTTTATTAAATAAAAGACTTTTAATATATTATTTTAATAAAAGGTTGATATTTAGATCTGATATAATAAATATTAAAAAAGGGAGAATTTTAATAAAAAAGTATTTTCTAATTAATGTTGTAATAAATATAAAAAGATAAATTATAATATAAAAATCTATTAAAATAATATAATAGATTCTAAATTATTAAATTCTTAATAGTTTTAATTAATTGATTTAATTATTATTGAATAATATAGTTTTGAAGTAATAATTCGAGGTAAAAGTAGTCGATCTACTGATATGACTGACCCACTAATAAACTACGTTATATGTAATAATATATATAATAATGTATGTAGTAATGTATGTAGTAATGTATGTAATAATGTATGTAATAATGTATGTAATAATATATGTAATAATATATGTAATAATATATATAATAATGTATGTAATAATGTATGTAATAATATATATAATAATGTATATAATAATATAGTAGTAGTAGTAAATTCATAATCAATTTGGTCTATATAGCTATATTAAGATTATATAATATGCCTGTATATGGTTCTAATTGAATAAAGTAGATAAAAAAAGGAAATAAAAAATCTACCCTTTTTTAAACTTCCCTATTAAAACCTATGAGCAATCTCTTAAACAATCCTTTCAAATCCTTTAAGTTATCTATATTGTAAACCTATTATATTCAAAAACCTTCTCTTTATTAAATCCTCTAATATATTTATAAAACCCTACGCTTTCTACTTTATTATAATAATCCCTTTCTTTCTATTCAACTCTTTTTAAAATATTCTAAAATCTATAGTTAATTATAATATTATATCCCTTTTAAAAAGTTTGTCTTTACTCTCTAATACTTCGAGTCCTTCGGGAATCCTATTATAACCTCTAATCCATTACTTATAAGTCTTATATCCACCTTCTCCTATAATATATCAATAATATATAATTTCTTTTTAAAGTTTAATATCTTCTATTCTTTTTCCTTTTATTAAATTACCCTATCGATATAAAACATAATATATTAAAGCTTATCAAATCATTCTATTAATATAAAGGATAAGATTATATTATAGGGCTAAATGATTAAATAAGATCGAAATAATAGATATAATAATATTAAAATGTTATCACTTTAATAATATATACTTTATATTAAAAGGTTATTACTTTTTTAACTATAGTTAATAGTGTGTTGTTTATCATATAAGGTAATATTGAAATTAATATTTCATAATAATATTATATATTGATATAAAGTATTATACACCTGAATCAATATATTATAAATGTTTTTCAAAAGATCTAGCTTTTCTCTTCATTATATAGGGTAGTTATAAATATATTAGTAGAATATAAATACTATATTAATATATTTCTTATAAAATATTTCTTGAAAAAAGCAAGGTTTTTTGAAAAGTTTTTATTCTTTATTTTCCTATACCTAAAAATCTTCCTCTTTATAGTTGAGATTCTTTTATAAGGCTTTCGAGTATTTAAAAGCCTGAGTTATTATAGGAATTTATAATTTAACCTTTTTCATTAATTATATTCGATATGATAAGTCTATTATTAATGGTGTTGATATTAATAGTTTTGATATAGATACGCTAAACCTTCCTTTTCAATATTAATAATAATATTTTCTTAATCTGAATAGGTATTAATTCAGTAACTTTGGGAGGGAGTAGAGGGTAATATTCTAATTCGAATGTAATAAAGATTAATGAGTTTTTTCAAGAAAATCTTTCCTTAGTTTTTTCGTGTTTTTCTATAATAATATATATAATAATAATATATATAATAATAATATATATAATAATAATATATATAATAATATATTGAAAACTACATTTACAATCTTAATTAATACTCTGAATCCGAGGGTATATGAAATCATATTATATTATAACGTTTATGTTAATTTGTATTTTGTATTAATTTATATATATAAATGAGTATGTAAGATTAGTATTTTTGTTGTGAGATTAGAGATTAGAGATAGAGATTAAAGATTAGAGATTAGAGATTATAGATTAATAAAATAGTTTAAGAGATTAAATAATTTAGAAAAGATTTGAATTTGAATTTGAAGTAGTCTTGAATTGAGTTTTTAAATTTAGAATTTAGAATTTGTATTGATTTATATATAAAATGAGTATGTAAGATTAGTATTTTTATTGTGAGATTGAAGATTAGAGATTAGAGATTAAAGATTAAAGATTAGAGATTAATATATAAGTTCAAATAGTTTAGAATGGTTTTGAATTGAGTTTTTAAATTTAGAATTTAGAATTGTATTAATTTGTATTTAAATTGAGTATGTAGAATTAGTATTTTTGTTGTGAGATTAGAGATTAGAGATTAGAAATCAAAGATCGCAAATTAATAAATAGTTTAAACAATTAAATAATTTAAAGGAGATTTGGATTTGAATTTAGAGTGGTTTTAAGATTAGTATTTCTATTATAAGATTAAATATTAAAGATTCAAAATCAATAAATAAGTTTAAGTAAATTAGATAGTTTAGAGGAAATTATTATTTGAATTTAGAATGGTTTTGAATTGAGTTTTTAAGTTTTAAAATTGTATTTTGTATTAATTGATACATAAAATAAGTATATGAGATTAGTATTTTTGTTATGAGATTAAAGATTAGAGATTGAAAATTAAAGATTAATAAAATAGTTTAAGAGATTAAATAGTTTGGAGAAGATTTGAATTTAATTTGAAGTAGTTTTAGGTTAGGTTGGATTTGAGATTGAGTATAGGGTAATAAGTTTTAGAATGAGATTGTAAGGATTAAGAAAGGGAGAAAAGATGGTGATTGATGATTTGGTTTAGGTTTGAGGTTGGATTTGAGTTGAGTTTGAGGTTTTGCTTATGAAGTTATAATAGAGGGAGGGTGAGAGGGGAGAAAGGAGGAAGGATGAAAAGAGAAATAGGTGAATGATTGAATGGATATTGAACTATGTAAAATGACATATATACATAGCTAATATCATGATTCAAGTGTATTAAAATCAATCTCAATTCCTATCTGTCTATCTCGATAATCCTACCCCGGGATAAAAAAAAAACTAAATTTGAAGGTCGTGATACTTCATATTGATTAATAGATAGATACTCAAACAGATATATAATTACTAACTGGAGATATATAAATACATGCTTGTTATCAATTTATAAATCTATATCTCCATACCTTCATTCTTCAATCTCACCAATTCATACTATCCCATTCCATCTTCTACACACCTGTCTCTC